AGATAGCTACGTAGCCGAGAGCTTAGCTCTCTATCGAATACAATCTTGTTACCTTGGCCTGTCCGATCGTGCTCCCGAGCTTAAGACTACCCTCCGGGGTCGAGCCCCTTACACTTACTATCTTATTCACGTAGTAGTTTCTTTGCTATATCTACTACTTTATATAGATAAGGAGCAAATTCTTATAAGTCTAAGTTAAGAATATATTATATAATAGTTTGCTCTTTATTATTATTATTATTATTATTATTCTAGTTTAACGTCCTTTTTCAGCCCGAAGGGCTATATAAGACGTGTAGGGTTTTTAGGCCTACAAGTATGTAACGGGCTAGGTAGCCCGCTACAGTACAGATAGCGGTGGCTATCTTATGTATCAACTACGCAACGATATCAGCAGCTCTGATATCTTGTGCCAGCCTTTTTGGCGCGGTGGGCGCGTTGTAGTTGCGTGCGCAGTCTAATAGGACTCGACCCGTTACAAAGTATCTAAGTAGGTTGTTTCTAGCTACGATATTTAGAATTAATTTAGTTTGCTCTTTAGACTTAGTTAGCTTTTAGTAATTTAGCTATATTATAGGTTAAAAGGTAATTCCTTAAAGCTGCTAAAAGATCTACTAATAATAGACGTTGTAGGCTACTATAGCGCGTTGAATGCTCTTAAACAAGTTTATATAATAGGCTTAAATAGCTAGAATAAGCCTATCTTCTTACTAAGTTAATATTACGTTTTATTATTAAGGCATTATCTTTCGTACGTGAAGTTCGTGATGCTAAGAAAAAGTAGCACACTTAGTGATGTGGCCCGCTTGGTGACGGAATACGTTAATAGTTATTAATTATATTTTAATCTTATCTTTAGGAAACTTAATAACTACAACGTTGCGCTATATAACATCTATAATATAAATAAAAAGGGCTTCCTACTGAGGTCTACTATAAGGTTAAAATAGGTGTTTTCTAAGTAACTTTAGGACTAAAAAATAATTACTACCACTATCTAAGATAGTAATAGAGAGTAGATAATGGCTTTAGTATATGTTTATACTGATAGAAGCGCTATAGATCCTTACGTTATCTATCAAGGCAAGGTTAGACTTTATAATAGCTAAGTACGCAACCTAGAGGTTAGAAAACACTAAGTTTTTTTCTCTATAAGTCTATCTAGATAAAGTAATTATAACCTAGGCTTAGCTTAGCTTAAATAGGTTTTGAATTGTTAAACAAAGGCAAAAGCTAAACGCGATTACTAGATACTTATCCTTAATAGCTATAGTAGCTACATCTTACCTAAATTTATTAAATATTGTTACTGTTATTAAATAATACTTTTAATATTTCTACCTTACGCTACTTATACTCTATAGCCTCTTAGTATAGTATTATATAGGCTGCTATTAGTAGCGTACTCTAAAGAGCTATTAGAGTTTATACGCTATAGCTAAGCACTACTCTAAATATAGAAAAGCAATTTCCTTTGCCTATTTTAGGTAGCATATACATCTACCTTTACTACTAGTAATATTTTAAGTAGTTTTATAGCTACTAAGCTCTATCTCTATAATCCTAAAGTTATACTTAAATAGTTTAAAACTACTATATTATAACAAGATAATAACTTAAAAAGTAGAGAGGTAAGAGATAGAGATAGCTAGCGTACGCTGTTAAGATTATTTAACGTTGTAGTACTAGATAGGTTAACAGCTATAGCTAAAGAGCTCTACTAGGCTCTATATTCTCTATAGGTTAACAATAAGCTTCTTTATGTTAAGATTAATAAACTTTATAGTAAAATCGCTACTAAAAAACAAAGGCTAAAGCATAATAAAGTTCTTAACCTTTAATGACACTAAAAGTACTAAAGTCTAGTAGTAGTGTGGAGCCCTTAGGCGGTATAGGAAGCTTAAGCGCGTTAGGCTATACAACACTAAGATGAAGAGGTAAAAAACTCTAAAAAAAAAAAGAGAAAAGAGATATAAGAAGCTACTACTTAGTATAGAAAATAAATAGCTATAGAGGTAAAATAAGCGTAGGAAATTGCAAAAGTTGCCTATAAGAAGGAATAGAAGGCTAAGGCTATATAACTTACTACCGCGCGCGCCTAAAAAGAATAAAATTAGCTTGCTATAATAATAAAAAAATCTTGTAATAAGTAAAGTATACCTAAACAAAAAGCTTTATCGTCGCAGAATACAAAAATAGCAAAACGTCGTCGTATGGTGGGCTGCGAGAGTGGTGATAGAGTTGCACAGCCGCCCGCCAAGCCCTCCACCAAAACCACCACCCGCGGCCGCAATATAAAGTTACTAGCGAAATATATATAGACGGAAATATATATTACTACTTACTTAATACTCCACTAGAAAATCTCGTGATAATAGCTTTTGTATAGGGCTCTATAGCCTCATCGTTGGTGGAGCACCAATTTTGGTGGGGTGTTGCATCCGCTGAACAGTTGCAAGCACTGACCACCTACAGTAGCGTCACCTTACTGCGGGGAAGCACATTCGTAGCTGAAGTCTAGTTTTACATCTATGAACAAGCTTAACCGAAAAAATTTAGTTTTTTGGAATTCTTTTGTTTGACATACTAGGACCCAGTGGCTCATTGTTTGTTCGTGCACCCTAGCAGAGGCGAGAGTGGCCGCGGCTCCCAGGATGGCTACCGAACTCATCTCAACCCCTGGCTTCAGCGATCTTCCCAACGAGCTGGTCATGAACATCATCGAGTGCATGCCCATCGAGGCTCCCAAGGACATATGCAATTTCAGCCTGACCAGCCGGCGCATGCACATGTTGGCACTCGACCACCTATACAACCATGTTCTAGTGTCATGCCCCTGGCCACTCGTACGAACTCTCCTTAATGACCCGGAGCTCGCAGCGCGCGTCCACCAGGTGACATGGAAGCCAGACACTGATGAGGACTACAGCAGCCAAAACCAGAAGATGCTTTCCAGCCTGTTGAAGTCTTTCAAACCAGTAGGGCTGAAGCGGTGGTCAAGTAAGAAACAGGAACCAGCCGTGACGTGGCGGCACCACGAGTTTATGAATTTCTTCCTCATGTCCACGCCCATCGTCGCCACGCTTGTCATCAAGGACACGCATGGGTGGAGAGACAACGTCTACTGGTTCGGCGGCAACGTCAGCGAAACAGGCAAGCTGCAACACCTGCGGAGCGTCCACATCCACGGGCCCCTCTGCATGGAGCAAACCGCACACTTGTTCCTGCTGCCTTCGCTGCGTGACATCACGCTGATTGATCTGGTTCAGCTGGAGCGCCGCACCCGTGACTATGTCGAATGGGAAAAAACAATTCCGCTGCAGACGGTGCTTGGGCCGCACATGGTGTCGCATGTCCAAAACATTACCCTCAAGCGCGCGTCTGTCGAGACGCAAACACTGGCGTATTTCACGCAAGCATGCAAAGACCTCAAGAGCTTCGCGTACGAACACGACGTCCACAACGACCTCCGCAACTTGCACTCGCCTAATCTGCTCGCCAAAATGCAGACTCTCGCCTCGGCCTTGACGCGCAACCGCGCATCGCTGGAGCGCCTGTCCATCCGTGGTGACCACCAAATGCTGCTTCAGAAGCACGTTCTACAGGTTGCTCGGCTGGCATCCGGAATGTCGGTTCTGCGCTCGCTGGACATGGGCTTGGTGACGCATGACGACGACCCAGAACGCTGTACACCAGACTTTGTCATGGAGCTTGTGCGGCTACTCCCGCCGACGCTCGAGGAGCTCACCATCGAAATGGACTGGCAGGAGCACTGGGGCTCAAAGGGGTGGGAGGGCCCGACTGATATGCTGCGCTACTTTGCTGACATTGCGCCTGAGAAGCTGCAGTCGCTCAGGAGAGTGGCCGTTGTGGATTGGCCGCCGAAACTGGGTTGTTTTCCTCCAGACTTCGCTGTCCTGTACCAGTGTTTTGCAGAACACGGTGTTCATTTCGCATCAATTCCGGCAAATATCGAAGGGCCTGATCCGTTGCAGATGTCCGACTGTATCGAGCCTGGGTGGGTCTTTGTAATGGCTACCGATGTAGAGTGGCATTACTAAAGCATGCGTATGACTGAACTTGTTTCTTGGAGAGATGGTCGCTTTGTGCCGTATGGATTGTGAGAATGTTTGTCCCCATTACTCCAGTTTTACCTTCGGTCTGGAAAAGTTCGTTTTTTTGCAGCACCAATCATGCCAAGTAACGTTTCGGGCACATCTTTGAATGATTCTTTCTCTGTTTCTTTATGTCGCCAATGCATCACTAACCGCAACTAGATAGAGTCTTGTTGAGATCTACTTTTTTTTCTCTCTCTTGACACTTACACCAACTACCACGTCTCTTGTCGGTATCTCCCAGCCTTTTCTATTCCAGCGAGATACGCTTCTGCTCCTTCTCTATCCATTTTCCCGTGTTCTTGGAAGCCTTCGATGAGAGCTTCGCGTACTGCTTGGGGCATTTTGCCCGAAGAACCACAAACGTACAAGATACCAGATTTTTGGTAGAGATGCGAGAAGACGAGGGCTGATTGCTGGCGAATGAGGTCTTGGACATAAACTTTCTGTCGCTGTAACTGTGTTAGTGGTAACGTGAGGGCAAGTAGAGAGGAGGGAGAGGCTGTAGCTCACCTGGTCTCTAGAAAAAGCTACAAAAACCTCTAGAGGAACGCCATCAGACCGCAACTGTGCCCACTCGTCTTTGAAGAAGTAGTCTGATTCTGCATTTCGACAGCCAAAGAATAACAAGTCCTTTACCATCTCTTGCTCTTGCACGTGTCCATTCTGTGCTTGCTTCAATTGCTCCCGCCAGATCATACGTTGGTATATCAAAGACCGCATTGGCGCGACACCGGTCCCAGGTCCAATCATGACAACTGGGTTTTCCATCTCTTCCTTGCTCACGCCAAGCCCCCCCTGAGAAAGCGTGACCGTAATCTCCTGGCCAGGGGTGAAGGAAGCAATGTATCTTGTCGCAACACCCTGTCGAATTCTTTTAATAACTGTTTTATACTTGACGATCGCAATCAATAGCTCAATCTGGGTTTTTCCCTCTAACTCGGCACTCGGATTCATCGCGCTTGCAATACTGAACTGTCTTCCCCGTAGTGTAGGAATGATACTACAAACACGCTGCCAAGGGATCTTGACAGACTCGAACTCTTGCAGGACTTCTAGGATGCTGCGGCGTGGGCGTGTCGTGTAGTCGTAGAGCTCGTCAATGTACTGGGGATCTGTAAATTCGAGGAGACGTGCCTTGTGGAATTCATCGGTAGTATAGTGAGCAAGCTGGGCGAAGAAGGAGCGGCGGGGGATAGAAATTATGTCGAGATGATTGGTGAGAAGTTGACGTAGGGTTATTGTGACGCTGGTATCCAAGTTGCGGACAGGAAGATTCGAAGATGATGATATGGATGGCGAGGATGGGGTGAAGCGCAGGGGAACGTCAGCGACGGATGTCCAATTCATGCACTCCAAGAACTGCGAGACATCCGAGGGGAAGTTCTTGGGATATATGGTGAGGACGTCGCCGGGTTGATAGGAATGGACTTGAGGAATTTCAAACTTGAGGTGCCGGACATCTTGCCAGTGGGTTGTTGGAGTAACACGTTCATTGCTTGTTATCGTTGCCGTCAGACCGCCGGGTATTTCAAGGAGATCTGGTGGAGGGACGTCTGGCGCACCGTCACTAGCTTCAGGCTTGGACGAAGCTGTGGAAGTTTTGTCTGCAACTTCAAGGAGCCATTTTGGGTCTAGTAGAACATGATCCGGTATTGGTTCGACATCATCAGGAAGAGGATATGCTTCCAGGAGGTGTTGGCGAAGTTTGGTAGACCAAGGGAGGAACGAGCCGTCGATGCTGGAGAAGTCAGACAAGACTTCTAGTTGGTGCAGTGATGGAGACAATGGACGCCACACGACGAAGGGGGGAAATGATTGCCTACCCCTCTGGATGCTGTTCATCGGATTCACCACGATCACATATTGGCTGGGCCCCCAGCTGGACGAGGCGGTTATAGAGTTTGCGATGGGCCCAGTTGTACTTTGGATACGAGGTGTCGCCGAGTCCGAAAGACGCAAAGCGCATGTGCTGCAGACAGGGTGCGCGCAGGCGAGCGCTTCTGATGGCCCTCCAGAACTTTTGGCTGTTTGGCGGCAGGTCGCCCTGGCCGGTGGTGGAGATTGCGATCAAAACAACATGATGCTGCACTAGTTGTTTCTACTCGCGTCAACAGGGCTCCCGGTGCAGGTCGTGTCGGCTCCGCGCCGCAAACATACAAGGCTGATGGCGTTCAGCTCGGCAACGTCTGTGTCGAAGCGCAGGCGCTCGGCGATTCTGCCCATCTCCTCAGCCACATCCTGTGCGTTGCCCGTCTCCGAGCCATAGACGACCAGGGCGCGGCGTGTGTGGTGCTGCAGGGCGGCGGCCATGTTGTAGGATTGCGGTGAGGCTAGCTGCAAAGAGAGAGGCTCGTCGAGAAGATGAAATTGGACGGCACGCGCCCCGGACCCGGCGCATGAAGAAGCGGTGCACTAGCGGCCACGTCAACGGTAGTCGGGTCTTTTTGCTGCTATCGGCTTCTAGCGGCGGTGGGGCGCTGGGTGACTTTTGATGGGCCGTTGACGTTGTGCTGTGGCGCAAACGGGGGGGGGGGAGGGGGAGAGGGAGGGGGAGCTGGGGTGTGGCGCCAGCTATTAGCTAAGCAGCGCACCGCCGCAGCGCGCAGCCAGCAGACGCAGCCACAGACGCAGCCACGCGCAGCCACACGCAGCCACACGCAGCCACACCACACACAGCCAGAGCGAGGCGCGCGCCTGCCTTGCCAGTGCCCGCAGGCGTCGGCGGGCGGTGGGCAGGCGTCAGTCGCGCCTTCCCGTCCCGTGGCTGCCCCCTTCACAGCGAGGTCAGCAACTGCATGATGCAGCTAGTCAGTCGCCCCTTCGCTGCGCGCGCACAGGGCTGCTGCTTCCTTCGGTGAGTGGGCCCTTTGCTGTGTGCAGGGGCCGCTTCTGTTGCCGCTTTGGGCCAAGCCCCCATGGCCGCGCTCTTCAAAATAATCTGCCCGCTCCAACCCTGCTCCCTTTCTCCCCCATCAAGTCAAACAACAGAGACAATCCAAGCACCCCATCAACCCAAACCTCTCTCAACCTTCCCCGGGCTCGTAGCTACCCACTCCACACCCCCCTCGTCAACAGTTCCACCAGCAGGCGGTTCGACAAGTCCCATCAACACTTCAATCAATCCACTACTGTTCAAGGTTACCTTGGCCGGTTTACCAGGACGACAAGTTTCCTCAACCACGCTACACGTTCGATCCTCCACTCGTGTTCATCAACCCGCAAAACTTCAGTAAAAATGTCCGCACCTGTCGACAGTGTCACCGCCCAGATGGCCACCACCTCCCTCACCGACAACACCGCTCCCGCAGCCACTACCACCACGACGGAGAGCACCGGCGCCCAGCAGCCCACCGCAGCCGAGGACGAGGCTGTGCGTGCGAGCGCCGCCGAGGGCAGGCGACTTTACATTGGAAACCTCGCATATGCGACCACCGAGGGGGAGTTGAAGGACTTCTTCAAGGACTACTTGGTGTATGTGGGCCCCGTCTTCTCCGCATGACGCCATGGCCTCGAGCTAACACGTTGCACAGCGAGTCCACGACCATCCCCACCAACCCGCGTACCTCGCGCCCCGTCGGCTACGCCTTTGTTGCCCTCTCGACGCCGTCTGAGGCCGAGCGTGCCATTGCCGAGCTCAACGGCAAGGCCATCCTCGACCGCAAGGTCTCGATCCAGCTTGCCCGCACCCCCGAGGCTCACGCCGAGGGTGCTGGCAGCGGTGCCGAGGGCAACACTGGCGAGGCTCGTCGCCGTACTTCCACCCGTGGACGTGGCCGCGGTCGTGGCCGTGGCGGCCGTGCTGGACGCGGAGGACGTGCTGTAAGTAGCCGTGTAAGAATGACGTACTAGTGCACACTGGCTAATCATGCTGCTCAAGAAGACCGACGCCGAGGGTGCCGAGCACGTCGAGCCCTCCACCGAGGCTCCTGCCGAGTCCACTCCCACAAATGTACCCGGCCAAGTTGCCCCCCTGACCGAGACTACGAACGAAGCACTCACAGCAAAGAAGGGCGCCGACAAGGCAGAGAAGGCTGCTGCTCCTCGCGAGCGCAAGCAGCGTGGTCCCCCCGAGGATGGCGTTCCCTCCAAGACCAAGGTCATGGTTGCCAACCTGCCTTACGACCTGAAGGAGGACAGGGTATGTGCTGTTGGTCCCGATACCGGTTTTCTACTAACATAAACCCCCCACCAGCTTCTTGAGATCTTCAAGGACTACTCTCCTACCCAAGCCAAGATCGCTCTCCGCCCCATTCCCCGCTTCATGGTCAAGAAGCTCCAGGCCCGTGGTGAACCCCGCAAGGGCCGTGGTTTCGGTTTCGTCACTCTCGGCTCTGAGGAGCTCCAGCAGAAGGCATGCGCTGAGATGAACGGCAAGGAGATTGAGGGCCGTGAGATCGCCGTTAAGGTCGCGATTGACTCGCCAGGAAAGGAGGACGATGCGCCTGACGCGCCTGCCGACGGCGAGGCTCCTCTGACCGAGGCGGCTGCCACCAACGAGAAGGCGGAGAAGGCTGTCGAGAACCCTCCGGCTACGACTACACCTGCTGCTTAGGTGGCTGCAGCTGCCTAGATGCGTGCTTTTTCCCAGCGGGCGCGCATTTGACGCTACATTACGCTGTGGATCTGTGTATGGAAGATTTCTGGCCTATTGACATCTAGCATTTATCCTGATAGAGATATATAGGCCGGGGCCTTTAGCATCTTAGTTCGTTCGAGTTATCTGGTTATATCCGCAAAAAAGTGGGAATTCGGAGTTCATCACGGCAATGATGTTTATGGTGGACGATGTCGGGTTCATTACGGTTACGGAAAAAACTTTGAGTTAGCTAGTCCGAGCCATGAGACATGGAATCAATGAATAAAGAAACGAAATATGCCTTTTGACGCCCGAATGGCGTCTCTATGGCTAATGATTTAGTAATTTTACGATATTGGTCAATTTTGGTCTTGTTCTTCTTCGTTTTGATTTTGTTCTTGTTGGTGAAGCGGTTCATCTAGTACATGATACTGTTTCTTTTTTTTACATACATGGCAGTGGTATCGAGCATTCATTCGGCTTTATTTATGTGGTGGCCCCCTCCAAAAATGCCACCTGTCTATACTTTTATGCTGTTGAATGTGCAAGGTCAATCAATGTCTGGAAAGGGTAAGGCGGGTATGAGACGTGTACATGGCTAAATGGATAGACAAAATGGTATGTGTGGAAACCCCGAGATGACCAAACATTCTAGGGGGCAGTGACTGCAACGAGAGGAAAAGGGCAGCGAGAAAAAAAACACGTAATACCAGGCACTAAAGCAGGGTTCTTTCAGATTGCGTTTACGTGGTGGTAGCGGGTGGTGATGGTGGTGGTGGTATCATGATTCCCATGTGTACGCGCAGATCCAACAACAATGTCATGGGCGGAAACATGCAAGGGAAATGCTATGCGAAACGCCAGCGTATGCAATTTGGAAGGGGTGGTTCGTCGAGAGACGCTAATGGCCGTGCGAGTGGGCGTGGCCTATTTGTGTCACGAGGGGCAGTAGCATGCCAAGCATGACAATGGCGATGTCGGTCTTGGACATGCGCGTGCTGCCCATGTAGGCGTCCATGTAGCCGTTTGCTGTTGGGTCGTCATGTGCATGGGTTGAGCTTGTTGCCTCGGCCATGGAGTGCATCGCCACGTATCTGAGTCACACGGTGTGTTAGCAGTGGGAAAGGCTTAACGTGTGTGTGTGGATCCACTTACAGAAACGTCCCTCCTGAGAAACACAGGACCCAGCCCGTTGCCCATGTGAGCCCTTCATCGCCTCCTAGATGGTTGCGCCCAAACATGTGTACAATGACCCAGGTAGCCAGGGCACCAGCAGGGGCGGCTAAACTGAAGAAGGCGAGGTGAGTCCGTGCCTTGCGCTTAGAGAGTCCCTGCTTGAGGAGCACAGAGGTAAGGCCAAACGCAGCAGGCGCCTTGTGGAGCATGATAGCGAAGAAGATGACCAATGACAGAGTTGTCGACTCGGCCGTGGACGAAGCGCCCAGGGCAATTCCGTCGGCGCACGCATGAACCACGAGACCAATTGTGGCTGCTGGAGTCTTTTTCGAGGGCTGCGGGGGAAGACCGGGCGTTGCTAGAGGCGTGACAGCCGCGCTCTGCATGCCCATTCCGTTCACACTCAACGACGAAGAATTATGGGGCCCACGCGCCAAGTTGGACAAGGAAATGTGCATGGGCTGGTAATCTGGCTTTGTAGAGGCCAGGGCTTCTGGCAGATGTTCAACCAGGAACATGAGGATATAGCCCAGGATCAGCGCAACTCCAATGTACGCATGTGGGCTGGGCCTGTCGTTGTGGCCAACCTCAGCATGGCCGTGCTTTTCCTCTTCGTCTTCCGGTGCGTGGACGCGAGTGTGTCCCTCCTTGTGGCCTTCTGTCGAGTCGTCGTCTCCTCCCTTTTGCGGGTGTGGGTCTTCGGCGGGCGTCTCTGCCTCCTTGGTGTGCTTTATCTTGTTCATCTGCACTTCAATGGCAGTCTTGTCGTTGCTCATGTCCACGCCAGCGGGTGCTCTGGCTACTCTTGCGCCAAATGCTTCCCTCTCCGCCGCGTCTGCTCGCTTCCACGTTGGGAACTCGGGTGCATCGGCCAAGTCTCGGTGTAGATTCCTTGCCGGTACAACGGAAGAGTGGGCGACACTGCGCACACTGCGCGAGCGTGAGTGCGCATGCATCTTGGCTCCTGAGCTGTACATGGTCTCGATGCCCTCGGGTATGATGACGATCAGCGACGTCCCCACCAGCACGCCGGTGCCAAGAAGGGTGAGGATGCGCAGCTGGCGCGTGGAGAGGTTGAAGGAGAGCGGGAGGATGCCGGCAAGGAAGGAGCTGGTGCTGGTGTTAGCATCGCAATTGTGCCATTCTGTCTTTGCGTATACGCACGCAATGCCCATGACGGTGCTCAGTGCGAGCAGCATAAACAGCCCGTCCCACATGTTGACGTCGTGCGAAGTGTCGTCCCCCTAAACGGGCGGGAGTGAAGAAACGATGCGCCTGCGATACAAAACGAAAAAGAAAAAGAAGACCTTGCCAGCGCCTCAAGCAATGCTATCCATGCCCTCGAGCAATCGGGCGGCGCAGGAGAGGGGATGTTGTGTGTGGGCGGTGTGCGAGGTTGTTGAGAATGTTGCGGCGGCTTCCTGAGCCTTGGTCCCAGCATGTCCAAACGCCAGTCTGCACGGGGCAGGGGGGGCGAGGGCATGGCGTAGGGCTGAGCTAAACACGTCTCCCGGCGCGCTAGTGCTTCCCTCCCTCACCTTGCGCGCAACCCGCCCGAGCTACTCCCACTCGCATTCGCAAAAAGACCGGTACCCACGTCGCAAGGCCGTTTGGCGTCTGTTTAGCGCAGCTGAGCTGATTACCTACCCGTGTGACTCCAAAACAACCATCCCAGACAATGGCGCTTGATCTCGACGACTGTAAGTGCTTTGCGCAAACGCCTTCTTCACGCGACAGAAGCCTGCACATCCTGTACATATCCTGTGCTGACGTGCTGTAGGGGTCACAAACTCAAACGAGTGCTTTCACATCAATCTCTACCGCACCGCCAACGATGACGGCCCCGAGCGCATCCTCGACGACTCGTTCAACCCGAGCTACACATATACCGTCATCGAGGAGAATGAGACCATCGCGGGGTACAAGAACCCCAGCATCGAGCTGGACTTCCGGGCCAATGATATGAAGCCCACGTTGAAGATCTCCTTCGACCAGGAACTCGACCTCAAGAAGATCTCCCCAGACCTGAACCAGGTCAACCTGTCGCCAGAGCTGTTCCGCGAGTACCTCCCAGAATCCATCGACGACGTTGCTGGCGCGACCTCTGCCGACTGGAAGCCGCCTGGCGAACTCGCAAAGTCCTTCACTCTGTACGGAAAGCAGTACGAGATATGGAGGGCCCCCATGTCCGATGCCGACGCGCGGCGCATTTGGATCAACATGAGGATCTTGGCACTGCTGTTTATCGAAGGCGCAACAACAGAGGGTTTGGACGATGATGAGACTCTCGATCGGTGGACGCTGTACTTGTTGTATGAGGTGGCGCCTCTGGAAGACAAAGCACTCTCGCCTTACACGCTCGCTGGTTTCGCTACAACCTATCGCTCTTGGATCTTTCCCACATTTGAGATTGCGCGCGCGACAAAGCAGTTGCCGTCGCCTGCTGAAAGCACTAGTGGCGAGCCTGCCAAGTACACGCCACCCCGTCTACATCAGGACCCTGAAACCTTTCTCTTTACCGACAAGCTCGATCTCCTCCAAACACCATCAAGAGAACGCATCTCGCAATTCCTCGTGCTTCCTCCATACCAGGGCCAATCACTCGGAAGCCAGCTATACGACACTATTTTCCACGACTTGGTAACCAAGCCCTTCATCTACGAGATCCCCGTGGAAGATCCCAGCGAGGCGTTCGATGCCATGCGGGATTACAGTGACATTACCTATCTGCGCACTTTACCCGCCTTCCAGGAGTTGTCGGTTGCTTCAACTCTCCCGTCAGAATCATTGAGAAAAGATTCGCCCATCCCGCGAGACCAGATTCTTGGAAACGGCAAAGACCTCGAAGAACTCCGAAAAGAAACCAAGATTGTGAGCAGACAGTTCTACAGAATGGTCGAACTGCATTTACTCTCAACCATTCCTCCAAACCACCGCAGTCGGGCTCGAATAACACGGAAGGAGAGATCGAGCAATGAAAACGACCGAAGATACTACTTTTGGCGTCTTGCCCTGAAGCACCGTATTTACAGTCAGAATGCCGATGCGTTGGATCAGATGGAAGATACTGCGGAGCGCGTTGAGAAGCTCGAGTCGGCAGTCGACAGTCAGCAGGAAGAGTTTGAGGAACGGCTAGAGGGGCTGGAAAAGCGCCAAAGCCTAGCAGCCGATGAGACAGCCGCTCCGCCAGCTGGCGCGAGGAGCAAGAGGAAACGAGCGGTGATTGATGATGACGAGGACGACGAGTGGGAGGATATTGAAGAAGTTTCTGTGGCCAGCTCCAAGAGGAAGAGGTCGTAAAAGTGGGATATTAAGGTTTGGAAGAATTTGAACGGTGGCTTAGTAATTTCTGGCAATTTGAGTGATCCCGAAACCATGTACAACGGGCCGGCCGTATTGGTAGCTTAGGCAGTATACCCATTGATGTTACTCTTAGCCAAACATGGCAGACCATTTCCAGTCCGGCGATTGCAAGCTAATCTCCGCGCGGGGCAGCCTACCCCACGCCCAAATTTTGGGAGACTGAACATTCACCCAAACAACATTCAACTTTGGATATTCACGGACACAATCCCCACTTTTGAGGCTTCTTGATCTCACCTTCACAATGACAGACCGGCAATTCAACCTAACCGTCCTCATATCGGGCAACGGATCCAACCTGCAAGCCCTCATCGACGCATGTGCAACGGGCGCGCTGCCAAACACGCGCATAACACACGTCATATCAAAGTAGGAAGATTGCTCCTTTGGACGAAAAAAAGAGCCCGGCTGACACGCACGCACAGCCGCAAAGCAGCATACGGGCTTGAACGCGCAGCCAAAGCCTCAATACCAACAACATACCACAACCTGGTGCCGTACAAGAAAAAGCACCCGGACGCCATTGACGAGGCGCGCTCGCAATACGACGCCGACCTCGCCAATATTATCCTCGAGTCGAAGCCGCGCCCGGACCTCATTGTGTGCGCAGGCTGGATGCACATTGTAACCCCGTCATTCCTGTCTCCCATTGCAGCCGCAAACATCAAAATCATAAACCTGCACCCTGCGCTGCCAGGCGAGTTTGCAGGCGCGGGCGCGATTGAGCGCGCGTGGAAGGCGGGCAAGGAAGAAGGGCTCAAGAGAACGGGCGTCATGATTCACGAGGTGGTTGCCGAGGTGGATGCCGGCGAGCCTGTGTTGACCAGGGAGGTGGAGCTGAGAGAGGGCGAGAGCCTCGAGGCGCTCGAGGACCGCATTCATGCTGTGGAGCATGGCGCGATTGTCGAGGGGACGAAGATGACGTTGGAGAAGATTGCGCGAGCGAGTTGAGGTGTGAGAGGTAGGGATACAGCGTGTATGCGAGTATGATATCCAATAAAAGTGCATGTGAAGATGTTGAGTTTTGTTCTGTGTTTGATGTAGTACTGTGCAAAGATGGGTGTAGCGATTCATGCGATCTTGGAATTAAATGTGTGGTCCCCGACTCGTCACTCCATGTTTCTGCATTGTTGTGTTCCTCCAAAAAGGCTATTCCATCGGTATATACATGTACGTCCTATGTAGTCGTACTAGATTCAATATAATCGTTTACATAATCTACAATGCATGCTTTCATAAGATCCCTATTGAGTGGATGCTACCCATAAGACCCTCTCGAGACTTGAAGCCGACTTCTCGATTTCTTTCTCCGACCAGATACTGCTTGACCTTTGCATTTATCTTTGGAGCGTCTACTGCTGTCCCGCTCACTATGATATGAGTCTCATGTGCCAGGACGAAGCATACTTGCCATAGTAGCGTTGAGATTGATTAATCCAGATCATCTAGTTACGAGTGAATCAAGCTATCATGTGACTTCTTCCCCAGTCGCTGATTATGCACTCAACGCTCATGTAGAAAATGTCGTGTGGTCAAGCATACATGTTTATTATAGCAAAATATTTAAATAAAAATATGCGTAGAGAAAGTATACTACAGTTTGTATTCACTACGATTCACTCACCGAACGATTGAGTTCCCAACTGCTTCGTGTATTGGATCAGACAGGTCAACTCCCATAGTGCTAAAGCTGCTTTACATTTCCTGTCTGTGGTAATTCGAACTCTTCATTTTCAGCGATACAAATGCTTCAGCTTGAGTCAGCCCGTTGAGCCAAACACTCTAAAATCCATGCTTTAACAGCGGTACCAATAAAATGCACATGAAAATAAACGGACCGTTCATGGAAACGCTTCACATAACAGCGAGACGAGCCACAGCTTACACATGTGTAAGTAAGAAGTGGTAATATCAGAACAGGATGTAGTTTTACGTATCTAGATTCCTATACCTTGTCCAGCGATATGAACAGTACTTGAGCCCCTGGAAAACGAGCTAAACAGCAGTAGCTTCAAGTGTGAAAAAAAAACTTTACAACAATATAGACGGCTCGTTCTTATGCATATATCAAAGGATTCATGGTTCTCGTCCAGAATACAGAATGCTATAGCCGCAGTTCCTTGAGTCTTAAGAGCCTTGGGTGTCTTACAAGCGGACTGTTCACATGTTGGAGGACTCACTCTCCAACAAGGAATTTTTCCAGGAGATTTGTATGAAAAGGCCCTTCTCGATCGATTCAAGTATTGAAATGTTCCAGCCGTGTTGAATGGTTGGGCTCACCCACAGAAATCAGTGAAATGGCACTTTGTAGGCATATTTTGTATGGAATTACTGAAACACTGACGCTATGTTTACATTGGGAAATGTAGAATGGGGGTTGGATTTTGGACTCAAGTGTTTGGGCAGTATTTCTTTGAGTAGGGAACATTCAGGTCATATAATGTATACGAGAGATTACAATAGCTGCTGCGAAGACTGACGGCATTGTACAGTTCTACGTCTGTGTCTGTGCCATGTTGACAGGCATAGTAGGCGTGTTTTTCGGCATTTACAAGTGAGTTGCTACGGTGATTTGAGCGGTATACAATTCTGCACTGGACTAGAGAATTGTGAACCGTGCAGTGGCACGTGAACGCATAGTCACTATCGTGAGACGATGACAGCCGAGGACAAGTAAATGTACATCTATATATGTACGTAAAAGATTATTTAGATTTTGGCTTAAACAAGTTTCAGCGATCAAGGTAAAAGGCCTGGACCCCCCGAGAGATAGGTCACGCGACCAAAAACACGGATAGGGTTTGTAAGATGAAACAAGTAGACAACGCTATAATGGAGCAAGGGCCATATATTCGACCACATTGGAGACAAAGCCAGGACTAGCGTCAGAAGATAAAAAGGATATGTCGGAAGAAGCCCCGTGGTAGGGTCCGAATATCTTCGACAAATGCACGTGGGCTTGTTTCAAATGTTGGTGGGGATGGGCGTGCTAAAGGGAAACTGGAGAACCTTGCACGTTTGCTGATACAGCTTGAGTTGATTACGTACATGGTTTGTAGAGGGGTTGAGAAAATAAGTAAAACAGAAACTGGGCTACTACTATCAGTCCTGGGGCTCCTTCATCACATGGCCTAGGCAAAGTTTGGATAACAAGGTTGAATCACTTGATCAATCCTAAACCACATGACAAGATTCAAAGTCATCGCTGGAAGACTTGATCATGTGCTTATCAACATATATTATTTGTACATGATTTACAAAAAGTCATGACACGCTGGGTTCAAGCAGCCTTTGTTCGTAGTTGAACGCCATGCCAGCTCTTGATCTCATCCTTGAGCACCTCGTTGACCATCTTGTGCTGCTTGATGACGGTCAAGCCTTTGAACTTGGGAGATTCTATTTCAATCGCGTACATTGAACCACACCCTCCGCTGATGTCTTGGACCTATGCAAAGCATGTTAGCAATGGCCCCATGCATGCTAAGAAACCCCCTCTCGTTCGGTTCGGCATGCCGAAGTCATTGTCCCATAGGCGAGAGCCTGGTTCTTCAGAAGGCATGCCGTAGGCCTTCGGATCGTGTCTGCAAGGCTTATATGACGTGCAGATTTACAGCGCAGTTATCGGTGGCGCGAGCGGTGTCATCAATGCGAGGCGCTCGCATCTCCGCATCTGTGCAACATCCCGAGACGATAAGGTGGGGAAATCAGTGCATACCTCTAGCTTGAGGGGCTCTAGTTCCGACTTTATTTTGTTGAAGACGTGTAACTCAGCCTCGTTGAGGTAATCCGGCGCTTGTGGTGTGGTGCTGGCTGACTGCGAATACGCCTGTGTGCGTGGTGTGCAGGATAGTGGCTGTCGCCATGGGCCAGGCCGCAGGGCTGGGATATGCTGGGGCTTCTGTATCGGGGTGGCAAATGCTGTGGGGAGACACGAAGCCGGGCGCCAGCATGGTGTTGCAGTCGCGAGCCCACGACGGAGGAGTGCCCTGGATGGTGCCATTGTTGCGGGGTTGGGGGTCTGGGGAAAGGGCGTCAGACGCTGTTTGGTACGAGTGCGAGGTGCATCAATCGTCACTGTGGAGTGATAGGCCTAGGCGATGACTGCGTGATGATTGATGCAACAATGCGTTGTTGCTTAGCAATTTGTGAACTTCACACATCGCGAACATCGTCATTGGCCCGAGCGCCAAGCGCCAAGTCACATGTCATGATGACTAACGCGTGCTCGTCTGCCACTGCTGTGCGCGCGACAGTTCCACAGGGCAGACAGTATTCACACCTCACCGGCTTCAGCAGGACGGCCTTGCGTACGGACCGCACAGGGCTACCGGTGTCGACGGAAGCCTTTCGCCCCCATGTCGGCACAAAGTGGCAATATACCAAGCTGCATGCTTATCCAAGCCCGTTTGGTGGCACATCGGCGGAGGGGCAGGCCGATGGAGGGTGAGAAGAGGGGCTCCTAGGCGGATGCCATGTCCAAAGTACCTCCAAGTACCTCTGCGCGCCGGCAATTGCTGCGAGACACTGACACTGATAACAAATGGCATTAGCAAGCGCAATTTCCAAACTCTGCCACCTTGCACACTGCTCCACCGGGCGCCCTCGCCATTCATTACTCTGACCGGTCAAGGCCGTCTCCACCCCCCTCGCCTCCGCTCTGGCTCTGTCGTGATGGCGGAGTGCATATCACAACACCATTAGCACCCGCCCGCCAGCACTCGAATACCGAGAGAGTGTGTGTGGGCACAGAGCGTCAACCGAGCGACAGGCGTGGGCCCCTCCTTTCCACTCCCACTCCCACAGGACGGGCGGGCGAGATCGTTCGGACCCTGATCAGCGCTGTGCAGGTTGCCAGACAAACTTTCACATGTCAAGGATGGGGTTGCTATCGCATGCAACCATCTGGCCTCCCCCCCTCCCACATGTACTCGTACACGCAAGAGATGGCACACGAGGCCGGGCGGGCCAATGGACGGCGCCGTGGCAAGCCAGGCGCTGCGCGAACGCCACTTTATAGGCTGAGGAGGCCGCAATTGTTGAGGATTTCGTTGGACCACTAGGCCATGGACGTCGCCCGTCGTTATTTCGGACCAAGAGGCGGCTTTCGGATGGACACGACGAGCGAGTGCTGCAGGACATGACGCAAGGCCCGCTGCTCCTGGTCTGTATCATGCCATCATGCCATGGCCATGGCCATTGCCATTGCGCCATCACGCCATCCAACGTCGACGGGCCTCGACACAATGTTTCTGCGCCACAACACTCGTGTTCGGGCTGAGCCACTGGTTGCTGGGGGCCCGGCGCTCCAAGATTGGACATTCCTGTTTGGTGCTGGTGCTCGCGGCTGCCTCCGTGCTGGGCAATATAATGCCTACTATCGTCTTAAACCATATCCAAATTAGGCGACATACCACCCGCCAATCACACGCGCCCCGCCCGGCGCTTGCCAGCATGCTAGAGTGCCCGTTGCACAAACTTCAATCTGGCAAATTCGGAATACCGCCTGTTGAGCCAAGTAGGCCGAGTCTGCTAGTATACGCCGTTACATGTTGATGGAATAGACGTCTTGTTGTACCACAGTAGGCTGCCTGCTAACCAGTTCGTGCCAGTCGTAATTTGCACACCGGCTCAAGCAATATACACATCAGGATGAATACTGCGACGCGGAGACGCTGGCTTGACAAAACGCAAACAATGCAGTGCTACAAACAAGCGGCGTCAGGCCACTCGTCTTTTGTCTTCGCACACCGTTCAGCAAGCAGATCAAGATGCGTAGCCTCGTCTTGATCAGCGCTGTGCAAGCCCTCCTGCTACACCTAGCGGCGGCGATACCATACCCTTACGCTAGCGAAGACGCGACGACTCCGCCAGCGACGCTCATTGCGCTCTCTGGAACCCTACCCACATCGACTGTTGCCACACCAGACTCGACGTCTCTCAACATTCCAGTCACGGCCGTACCAGACGCGGGCGATGACGACAACGACAACAGTGACGAGAACGATGATGACGGCAACGCCATAAGCCGATCCAAGAGGCCGCACAAGGAGCCTATCCCCATCTTCACCAAGCAATGTCAATGTCAGCTGGCCACGGCCAGGTACCCGTGTTGGGCCACGGATTCCCTGCAGGTAAGTGAAGCGACACCGGGGCGTAATGTAGAAACCGGAAAAGAAGAGCCAAAAAAACAACGCCGAGAAAGATAGAGAGCAGCAAGACCCTGACACTGTTCCCCAGCGATGCTATTTTGAGGAAAACTTCTCCTATGCCTGCTACATGCAAGCTGCAGGTGGCTGTCCCAAGCCGACTCGACCTGTAAGCCCCTCCCTTTGTCTTATCATAACTCAGGTTAATATTGACACTTTCTTGCCCCAGTGCAGTAAGCTCTTTAAGCCTACACCTCGACCGGGCCCCAATCCCTGCGAACTAGCTCCCAATCCACATGTGACATCTGCTCCGCCCTTTCCCACGCTGACTGGCTCTCCAAATGTCACTCTGACTACTAGTCTGCCGCTTGTACTGGTACCCACTAGTAACCACACGCTCACCACCTTGGCTCTATCCGGCACGAGGTAAGAGCAAAAAAGTGAAGCAAGGGGCGGGTGGAGAAACAGGGAATCAACAGGAAAGAAAGAGGAAAGGAAACGGGTCATGTGAAAGGGAAGAGAAAAAGATACCGTGTCGTACTACGTACATACACAGGCAACATAGCCGTGACTCGCGGGGAGAAGCTAAGCCCAATCAAAGCGGGCAAACTGAGGGGGAAGGAGGAGATGGTCTATTTTATTTTTTTTTGACTTTTTCCATTCCAAGCTGGGTAGTTAACCATGTTGGATAGAGTGAAATGCAAAAACAGAAAAGACTCCCCCAGTTTCTCGGCAGTTATGTCTATTCTATACCGCGGAGTTTTTCTTGTTAGAAGTTTGTTCGTGTGTGTGTGTGTAAGTAAGCAAGCCCCGTGATGTCCTGGGGGGGAGTTTCTTTTTTTTCTTTTCTTCCAAGTCAGTTCAGTTAGCTAGTTCAGTTCAGTTCAGTTGAGTTGAGTTCAACTGAATTCACAGAGTTAGTCCGTCTGATTGACCGACCGACCGACTGACCGACCGACTGGCTTGCACATGACCTTGAAGCAGCGGGAAAAAAGAAAGAAAGAAACAAGTGTCACAGTGTATGCTCATCTGCACCCTTTTTTTTGTTACCTTTCAACAATGTACTTACAAAGACAAAGGGAGAAAAAAAAAGGAAGAAAAAAAGGGCTTTGTCGCATGCATGCCAGCCCATTCCAGTCAGTCAGTCTACCTTGTTCGGGCTATGGCTCCCAACCAACTGCACACAGCGGGAGAGAAAAAAAAACAAGTGTCATGCTCACATCGCCTTAGCTTCCGCCAAGCTCAGAAGCAGCGTTGTCTAGAACCTTTTTTTTGTGTGTGTATGCCGGCGGCTGGGTCACGCGGAGGAGCTTCAGGCATGGCCTCCCTCTCAACCCCCTCCTATTCCTCCCGCTGCCCCCCCCCCCAACCCGCTGCCGCCCACAATATACCCGGGGACGCGATCCTGACTCTCCGAGGAAATGAGGAGGGGGAGGTGGGAACGGCTGGAGAGATAGTGTAGAGAGAGGGGGAAGGGGGGACACACACACATGCATGGTGGCTTGGAGGTTGGGAAAAGGCGACCAGGGCGAAAGTCCAAAGCAATACTACTACACACTCCACACTCTCCACCTCTCCACCACTCCACCTCCACCTCCACTCACCTCCTTGCCATAGCTAATGTACTGTAACTGTAAATGTATATGTATGCGCAGGGGGCGGGCAGGCGCAACAACAACAACAACAACAAAAGGCCGCTTGTATAGATCCATAATTTAGCGTAGGCAACAAGAAAAAAAACGAGAGAGAGAGAGTGTAAGTATGTGTGTAGCACGAGACCAGGGCGTAGGGAAGAGTTTTGTTAGTGTATTGTAGAGATACGAGAGAGGAAAAGAGAAAGAAAAAGGGCAAGTTAATAGGACATGTTGATGAAGGGGGAGGGGGGGGGGTAGGAGTAAGGGCCCCACTCTCAACAGTTCGAGTTTTGCTGATAGTAGTGTTGCCCATAAGTTAGTCAAGCCGTGCGGGGCCGCTGCGGTGCGTGCTTCAGTCACTGCCGCCGTGTTGTAGTTGTAGTCGTTTGTCGTTGTCTCCAGGTGGGAATAGGCTAGGTGCAGGGTAGAGAATGGAGTGCAGGAGTGGCAGTTTCATAAGAGTCATGTTGGGGCGGATTTAGTAACATGAGAGTGTGGAGAATGGAGAAGCGCGTCGTCGGGTGGGTCAAGGCGTACAAGTGGTTTCAGGTGGGTCAATGCCCATTGTCGGAGTACACCAACAGACAGCGCCTCATTGCGAACTTGCTAAGTTATGCTAAACCTTTGGCGTGTGTGTGTGTGTGTGTTTACGTGCAAGGTATAGGCAGGTTGCTAACTTTAGCTAGTAAGGATACATCCTTCACTAGACCCTTAAAAAAAACCCTGGCTTTTCAGAGACAATCTAAGCCGCAGGGTCCGTAGATCGAAAGAGTAAAAAAGAAAAGAAAACAGATCCAAAAGAATAGCGATGCGACCGCAACCAGCGTACAGGTCGAGAATTCCTAATCGTATTCAGACCATACTGGAGCGCGGATAGAGAGAAAGTCCGACCTAGACCACTCAAACTGACCGCCCGTAGAAACACCCAATGGTCCGTAACGATATCCACTGGGAAGGGGGGGGGTGTCGAGTGCATGCTACCGCCGTCATGTCCGCACGTTTTTGCCGCGAACATGCAGTTCGACAAGGGATCTGCGCGCGAAATCCGGAAGCACCTACGCTGACTCGGCTTTACACACCCAAGTCCGCCCGAAATCAGTGTTTCCGAATAAATAATATCATAGGAAAAAAATAGAGCTCCAGTATTTCGTGCAGCAGCGCGCCTCGACGACTCGGTAAACAAGCTCATCCGCCCTCTAAGGACATGGTCTGCGCAATCTCCTAGGCATGAACGGCGCACTTCGGAGTCATCTCCAGCGACACCAAGGCCCTTTGGTATGAGGCTCTGTGGACCCTGTCTTTGTTGTTTTTGTAGCCGCCAATGCCCCCCCCCACCCACTACACTTTGTGGCTGACATGGCTCCATGGTAAGGGCACGGAGGCAGAGGCGGTGGGAAATGAGAGCCGAGCGGGCTGGTTGGCTAGTTGTTGGGAATTCGCCGCTCCGCTGGTAAGCCACATAGACACGGCTGCGGCTCTACAACGGCGGTATTGGCGATACAGCGTCTTGGAGATAACGTGGGGGGGCGGCTTCCATTGGCGGGTCGCGTGTGTGTGTCGCTGGAGTGGTTCTTTGCCACTGTTGGGGGAGGGCTGCGCTCAGTGCAAAATTTTCGTCGTGATGGTTGCATTTGTGTGTCATGGAATGGCGGACGGAGGATTGACGCTGGTGCTAAGAATACGACGGGCAGCCTCATGCACTAGGCCCGATGGCGGCTAGCGCGGCCCAGGCGCTGCCCCTCTTTGTCGCTTAGGCCCTGTCGCGCACTCGGCAACCCTATTGCGGGGCAAGTTGCCCTTTTGGTATCTTGTCTGTGCGCGTTTGCGACAATGGGCGAACCCACAACCGCCGAACACCTAAGTAGATACAATGTCAGCCTATCCTGTCGCGAACGCCTGGGAGGCATCTATCGCCATGATATCAGGTATGCTGTGCGCTACACTCATGTTGGTCAGCAAGCCGCCGGCCCCTGGTTCGTTGGGTGAATCCAGAATCCTCCCGCTGCACACGCCACAGCTTGGGCGGGCAAGGCGATGCATGCACCTGTTCCCTTTGCACTGTGGTGTGGGCGCCGCACAGCTGGCTCTCCGCCGTGTGGGTGCAATGTGCCCTTGCTATGGTATTTTGTGTATACGATGTCATGGCAAGGACTAATCTGGCGAGTTTCTCAGTGTGAGCATGCTGACGGTTGCTGAGTGGCGCTCGGGACACGCACCCAAGGCACGGGCTCTGCTACAGCTACAGCTACAGCTACGTACAGCTACAGCTACACAGCTTCGACTTGGACAGCGTGGTACCGCTCACGGCACGCACACGCTGGCATCGAGACGTCTTCCAGAGTGCCCACGACATCTGCCCTCACCGACCCTCATGCACACATGTGCGTGTACATCGGTGTGCACATCGGTGAGGCCCTGCAGTCGAACATCACGCACGATACACGATACTCCTACTACCCCGCATTACACGTTATCTGCCCGTTCATCGCCGAGCCATGGCCACACCACCCCAAGCTCATCCCTCTCTCGTGGTGAGGAGGGCGGCAGACCCCTCTTTGGATCCCTGTGTCTCCCTTGCGCTACCTTGATTAGCTGCCACGGCTGAGGCTGTCTGATTTGGGCGTGTCGAGGGCGGGGTGCGTTTGTTGAGAACCAGCCCCATGCCTAGATGCTGCAGGCGTAACGCCTGCGCACGTTATACGCACGCAGCCATTGACAGGCCCGCCACAGGGTGGACATTGATCTTACGGGCGCCATCTGCAACCCGACTTCCATGCGGCAGGGGGAGGTCAACGGAGACGCTGGAGAAGGGCATAGCACACACGCCATGGAAGAGGGGGTGCAACGCGTCCATGGTTCGAATGGGTATCCACACGCGAAACGTGTGGCTGCGGGAGCGGACGGCCAGCCTGTGGCATGTGAGACGCAACGAGGGCTGCTGGCTGCTGGCTGCCATCATCTCACCTGCTGCGTGCGAAGAATAGCCTGACAATGCCGAGACAGCCGTTATCGCTCAATGGGTGACATGCTCCTCGCCCAGTCAGCGGTGCACGTCGCCTCTGGTGCTTTATTTTTTTTTTTGCCTGGCAACCCACCCCCCTCCTTCGAGCAGCCTGCTTACCAAGGGCGTGGCCTGTCATCTGATGCCATGGACAAAACAAATTCTGGTCTTGACCCCATAGGCGAGTGCATTCTAGCCCCCCGTCATGTGGGCATCTGGACGACCGGTAAGTGTTGGTATTCATGTGAATGTGTTACGCAGCATCTATTGGCGTCGGCGCTCGAGAGGCTTATCTATTGCGCGCTGCGAACGGTAACGGTGCTCGGTGACACGGTCAAACTGCACAAAACAGGACAAGGGCTGCTGGACGCTGCAAACCCGACTGTCCCAAGTTCCGGCACCGGATCTCATGTAAAGTGTCCGTGTTTCATTTGCTACAAGCCATTGCATCGACACAGTGGTTAGGGTTCCCCGGCAACCGATGACAGAAGACGCGTGAAGAAGGCCGGTGACTACTATACGTGGAGATAAGAATTCCGGTGTTATGCCCTGCTTATCTCTTCCAGTTGTCGCGACTGGCCTGGAGTTATGCTCCGCCGCGACGCCGCGTTGCTGGGCTGGTAGGCCTATGTCGACAATAGATAGTTGCTCTTAGTCTGCACGCAGGCACACACGTAATACTCATTTGGAAGCAGGCCAATCGACGACATGGATATGGGGATTGAGGACATGGGCGGCTTCGCCTGAGCCTCGCCCCCCCCCCATGTCGCCACTGGAATGCCATGATCCGAACCAAATCCTGACGCAAAAATTCCGTCGTGGTTTCGCCTGGTACCGTGGTCTTGGAAAGTGGGCTGCAGCAATCAATCTCACGGGTTCTATGTGTTTGCGTGCGGTCACAGTGCTTCACGCTCGTCAGACGGCCTTTGTGCTGACACAAGTGGAGCACGCTTGCAATATGAGGTACGAACAAAGTTGATAAGTAGCGATTATGATCATCGTCGGCCCTTTCTTGGGCCATCTCTCGGCGGACACCACTCTTTCGGCCCGCGAGCTGTGAGATCGGAGGGTGGGGCATGGCTGGAAAAGGGCTATTTCACCTCCCGCCGTGGTACGGATACGACGGCTGCGTGGGTTGGCCTGGTCTGGTCTTGCCGCAGTAGGTATTTTCCAGACCGGGCCAGCGTTACTACTGGCCATTATGGAAATAATAATATGCGTAGCGCAGAAAGCAAGGGGCGTAAAGTAGCGGTGAGCGCTCAAACAACTTGGGGCCATGGCCAGAGGGGTCCTAGTGGGTGACGGACCCTGCGCGGGCTGGGGAAGGGGGGTGGACATGGGGGGCAATACCTGAAATTCTTCTTGTGAGAGATGGGTATTGGAGAAGCTTAAATTTAACATCACACATCGCGATGGCCTAGGAAAATCGATATTTTCTCAGGAATACCGTGGGCGTGGGGATGCCATTCCAGACTTGATGGCCCGTGGCATGCTAGATGGTACGTGTCATGGGCGTCGTCGTCAATCATCATGACGTCTTGACAGAGGATTGCTGGCAGCTGGCGCGCCAGGTTCGCGTAGAGCTTCCGGACGGGAGCCGTGGGAACTTGGTCATCTCCGGTGCCAGCACCAGCGCGGGTCGGGGGGAGAGGCAGAACCAACTTGTTTGCGGGCGTGGGATGATGGAATGCCAGCCAAGCGTCCCGACATGGACGGCCACCATGGCGTGCTGTTGAGAAGTCCTTTGTTCTGCACCGCGCTGCGTCGTCAGGGGCATCAAAAAGCACCCTTTTGCTTTGGCTCTGTAGTGCCATGTCCCGAAGGAGCCGCCATGCTGCGCCTGCGAAGTGGGCTGATGTGTGTACACCTTACTGACAGGTCGCCTAACAACGGAGCAGGCCCGTCACTCGATGCAAACAAGACTGGTCCCATGTGATCAGCATGACGGCGATACAGTGTTCTCGGGCAATGGCCAGTCCTAGGGTGCGGGAGCGCATCCATCCGGGAGCGGCGTGCATCGGTGTGAGGCAGCCTAGCTGGTGTTGTCGTCTCCGCCTGTGGAGAAGGAAAAGCGAAGGCAGACCGGCGAGCATGCTGGAACAAAAGGGCCGCGTTTATAATACATGGGCGTGCAGTCAATGTGATACTGTGCCAGTCACACCGGGGGGGGTGCACATGGTGATTTCAGATTGCTGTTTCTCGATCGCGATGGGGGGCGGAGTGGAGGGGCGTGGGTGGAAAGCAGCCTAGTGTCATGCGGCACAGGTGGTAGGCGGTGCCAAGCAAACGTGCGGGGATCGACAAACTGTAAGAAATCGATGATGGCAGGTCCGTGCCCCCCTGTCGGGCGGTGAGGGCGAGGGCAGGCGGATTGGGACCAAGAGGAAGGAGCGTTGGAGATTCTGCCGGTCAAAAACAGCAATCGGACATGACGCCATGTGGGGCGTGCTGGGGCGCTGGCATGTATGGGGGCTAGCGCGGCGAGTGGGCCCCGGTCTGGCCACCAGCGAGACGACGCGACAATGGCGAGGGTGTCGTTTCATCGTGCCGCAGAGAGATTTTTTGTTTTTCTATTGGCACAGGCGGGCAAGCGACATTCGAATTGTTGGTTTCGGACACGGCACGACTTTAGGTGCTTCGTATTGCAAACCATGCGCTGCCCGCTTGCCTTTTCTGCGCGCCTGGGCGAGGGCTAGCCGCGAGCAGTCGTGGTCGTCGTGGTAGTGGTAGTGGTGGTTGAGGAGCAATTGCAACGCCCGCGAGCCAGCGCGAGTGCCGTGAGAACACCGTGTACAGTGCCGGGCTAGCGAGTGGAGCACCGTTCAGCTGTCTGTCTCTCTCTCTCTCTCTCCATTGAGTGTCACCAAAAACAAAGCAAGTTTGGGCGTCAGCCCGTGTAGCGTCAGACCCGAGGCACGCCGCGCGCCCCTCGGGGTGAGCTGGGCGGGCATGGAGACGCGTAGGTGTACGTAGGCGCGCGCAAACCGGGAACCGTGGTACAGGCGACGCAGGCATGGCAGCAGCAAGGCTTCGCGAAGGAGCAGCAGGAGCAGCAGGAGCAGCAGGAGCAGCAGCACAAACAGGAGAGGCAGCAGACGACACAGGCAGGCGTCATGGCCAACGCGAAATGCGGGGAAGGCGTCAAGTCAGTGCCTGTCGGGCACAGCCAATGGGCCACGCCCTGCGTCCGTGGCCTCAGCTGCTAATATTATGCGATGTGGTTTCGAGGGCGCTGCTGCTGGTGCTGGTGCTGGCATGGCGCGATTCCCGCAAGAGGCCGAGCAGAGGCCCGTCTGCGCTGCGTCTGCAATTGATGAGGAGGGGCCAAGGCGCGCGATGCAGCCGTGATGCTGTATGTATATCGGAGGGGGGCATTGGCATTGGCACTGGCATGGCGAGGCCTCTGCCTGGAGGAGCCCGCACCAGAGCCAGCCCAGCAACCAGCACCGCCCGCACCCGCACCAGCACCAGCACCAGCACCGCCCAGTGCCAACACCAGAGCCAGTGTGAGCGAGCCAGTGCTATCAGGCGCAGGGGCCACAGAACTGCGACTGGGATAGGGCGCGCTAGGCTGGGCAGGATTTGATTGGCCTTGGCCCGACCGCCATTTCCCAGGCGGCTGGCGGGACTGGCGATCCTGGCGGTGCTGAGCGTGGCGGAGGGGAGGCGAGCGAGAGGGCGTGAGGGAGGGGGGAGGGGGGGGAGAGGGGGATTTTGCACGGCAGGGCGGGTGAGGTGCAAAGGCGGCTCACACGGTGCTCCGATCGTCCAGGCACCGCTGCCCGTCGCCCCTCTGCTGCGAGGCCGACGACGAAGCACCGCTGCAGCCGGCGACTGCGCTCCCATGCCAGTGCCAATGTGCGTGGGCAGCCCGAAAAACGTTGGAACAAAAAAAAAGAACAATGACATCACGGGCTCGCTTGAACGGGGGGGCGTGCACGCAATGCGCAGAGGCCCCCGTCGCTAGGAAGCCAGTTCGCCATGGCTTGAGCGCTGTTGGCCTGGCTGCCTGCTTGCTTCTGCGGCGACGACGACGACGACGACGGCCCAGCAACGGCTGGCAGATTGCGAACCGTCGCTGTTTGACCCTGCTGCGAGGCGACCTGAGGTGAGTCGGTGGCCACGGCCCATAAGAGGCGACGCCGCCCCCACGGCCCTCGGAGCTTGGGGGGCGGGCTAGACGTGCCGGTGTTGCTGGTCGCCGTGGCCGTGGCCGTGGTGGTGGCCAGAGTGGGCGTGAGGCGAGGGCAGAGGACAGGTCCGGCTGCGTCAGCAGTGTCGCAGCACCACGGCATCGAGTGTCGACGGCGACGGGGCTGCGACAGGGCGACGGCCATGGTCTTGGGGCGCCGCCGCAAGAGCGAGAAATGCAGTCGAATGCAGGCCGTCCAGCCTTGCCCGACAGCGAGGGCGGGCCTGGCTGTTGCGCCGTTTCGCATTGTGGCCGTGCCAGGCAGCGAGGCCGGCCGGGCACTGGGCGGGCCTCGCTTGACGTCGGGAGATAAACAAGATAACATCACGTACCACGACCGCTGGCGCCGCCGGGGGTGGGCGGCGCAGGCGACTGAGTCTGAGCCTGGGCCTGAAATGGTGTGTGTGTGTCTATGGTATGGCGTACGGTACCTCAGAGTACCTCCAGTGCTGGCTGCCCGTCTCGCTCCGCCGTCGGCACCACTGCTCGCAACCCACCCCCCCTCCCTCCCTCGCATCCCATCGCCTCCCCAGCGTGCAACGCGCCGCCTGTCTCCGCTCCCGCCGCCGCCGCTGCCTTCGTCGCCGCCCTCTCGCATGCGCAGTCAGAACCGGTTGCTGCCGCTTGGCTGTGTGTGTGTGTGCGTGTGTGCGTGTGTGCGTGTGTGCGTGTGTGCGTATGTGCGTGGTGTGTGTGTGTGCGAAAATCCTTGGTCGTGCCCCCCCGGTCTGTTGGGGTCGCGCTAAGGCTCTTCATCCACCCGTGCATTGGCGCTGCAGCTCCCTGCCTGCACCCCTGCCCCCTCCTAGCGCCGCCAGGCCTCGATTTCGCTTGCACCCATGTCCAACGACTCCCCAATAGTCGCGGCCCTGCACGCTCTTCTGCGCTACCGCCCTCAACACTCTTCTCCATCCTCCCTCCTCTCCATCTCCTCCGCCTGCGGCCATTGCTGCCAGAGACCCTTTTAATACGCCGTCGGCAGACCAACTCGTGCTTCTTGGTTTGACACTCGACCCCGCCCTTCTCCTCCCCCCCAGCCCACCCGCCCAGAGCCCCACGGCTCTTGCCCCAGCGCCCACTCACCCAAGCGCCATATCAACCCGACGTCCGCTCCCACGTCTGCACGGAAGCCACCGGCCTCGCTCTGCTGTGCATCCTGTTGCTACCGCCAGAGCCTCAGATACAAACACGTCTCTCCCACAGCCTGCCTGTCCTCTTCCGCTCTCCCCACGTCATCGCAGCTTTCGCTAGCTGTGACCGCCTTTGTCGCAACCGCCCTAGTCTGCTCCCTCTGCCAACAAACCCTCCGGAAGCTCTTCACCCGCCTATAACTGTAAGTCTGCTCCCACCGCCACACCTCCCGACACGGCCCTCACCAGAGGCTTTGTAAAACTGCAATTTTCGTTTTTGTTGTTGTTGTTGTTGTTGTTGCTGCTGCTGCTGCTTATCTGCAGTTTGCCATGTGCTTGATCACTCGCTTACACACTCGGACCAGACCTGTCGCCATAGTAATTCTTTTAATGCAACCTACGCCTTGAACGACCTCTACACGCTCGACCCGCTTCTCTACGCCACCCCCACGAAGCCGACCGAATGCCTTACACTCCCCCCTCCCAGCGGTCGCCGGCAACCTCCAAGACTAGTAGCCCCATCCTGAGTCGAAACCACTCCTACATCGACCACCCACCCCACTCGCCGGTGACTGCCCAGCGCCCATCTCTCCCCCGCTCTGTCTCGTCCACGTCGTACCTGGCCAGGTCACGGCGGTCGTCGTCGACAGCCACGATCGAAAACACGGTTGCAAATGGCCACTCGGCAAACAGCAGCATAGACATCAAGTCCAACGGTAGCCTCCGCCCGTCTCCACCTCCTGTGAACAACCTTCTGATTCCGTCAGGTGCGATCACAACGCCGCCTGATTCCTCGGATGACGAAGAACGCGGCCGCAATGCAGGGGACCTCCGCGAGCTGCAAGAGGCTCTGCAAAGCATCGACCAGAAGAGAATGCCATCACCCACCCGAGAGGTTATTGAGAACGTCAACCAGCCCAAGCCACAGCCTCCCGTCACACTAGCCTGCTCCCTCTCTGCCGAGGCACGCAAGATCTCGCACTCCCGTTCGTCAAGCGAGATCATGCTGTCCCAGCACATGATCCACCCCATCCACACCGACACCATCATCAGCTCATCTGACGGCAGCGATGCCGAGGACGAGGGGCTGCGGATAAAACCGCCGCTACTACGCAAGAAGTCTGGGGAGCTGGTCAAGCCCGCCCTCCGTCCTTCGTCCAGGCGTCGCCCGTCAAGCATGCCCGGCACCCCCACCTACTCCAAAGCGGTCCACTTCAACGAGGAGATTGAGCAAGTCCGTCATTTCCTCCAGGTGGACCGGCCTATTGCTGTTAGTGCGGGCTCATCGCCTGTGGAGACGTACGATAGTGAGAGCGAATACCCCTTTGCTGAAAGCTCACGACCCAAAACCCCCGAGTGGGACATCAAGCTGATGAACTTCCCCACATCGGAGACGTATGAGCGGCAGACTGCCCCCGTGCGAGTGGAACGCATCTTCCTGGCTTCTGACCACCGGACGCTGGTTGGCAACATTGCCGTTGCCAACATGTCCTTCCACAAGCTGGTCGTGGCCCGCTTCACGCTAGACTACTGGAAGACTACATCAGAAGTCGTTGCTGAGTTCAACCACGACGTCCGTAAGAAGCAAAAGGACGACGGCTACGACCGCTTCAACTTCAACATCAAGTTGGCTGACCAAGCCAACTTGGAGTCCAAGACGCTGCTACTATGCGTGCGGTATCAAGTCAACGGCCAGGAGTACTGGGACAACAACAATGCCATGAACTACCAGGTTGACTTCTCCAAGAAGGTCAAGCAGCGGGAGAACAAGCGCCCAACAGCTAGCCTGGGCGCCATCCCCCGCAGCAGGCACTCACCTCTGGCTCCTCGCCCCCGCTCGATGCCGGCTGCTTCCTTCGATGATGACTTTGGCCACGAGTTCGAGACCAAGTTCCAATTTGGCAGCGGACGACCCACCTTTGGCGACTCACCTAGCTCATCGATCAAGCTGAAGCCCAAGAGCAAGCGCAGTGTCTACCAGAACCAAGCGCCGCCCTCGCAGGTCAGCCAGGCATTTGCCTCTCGCTACGACTTCGGAGCTTCCCTTACGGCTGCCCTTTCAAATGCACAGACTGCCCTTGGTGACCGCAGTGGACTCAAGATCGACACGCACGGCAGGATGAACAAGGGCTACTTTGATCGTTCGGCGCCGGCCGTTCAGTCTCAGGCCACTGCTGCACCCATTCCGGGCACCCGCCCTGACTCACTGACGCTGGAGAAGCCCGACCTTCAGTCTGCCGAGTACAACGAGTTGATCCAGAAATTCTGCTTTGTACGTTCCCAACCTTCACATCAACACACTGGTGACTTGGCCTAGACGGAGACTGACTCGCATCCAGTTTGGCACACCCACTGGGAAATCTTCTCCTAATGCTACCACGCCCTCTGCCAAGGTGGCGCAAGGTGACGGGGCCCTAGATGACGTGGCCAACACTTCTGGAAGCAAACAGTCCTCGCTTGCAAGCAGTCCTGCATCTCCTGCCATGCCTATCATGGTTGACGGTGCCAGCGACTCTGCAGCATTCTTACCTCGTTCAGCCTCTCCGGGCCCTATGACTGGCTATACCCCCGAGGACCACTATGCCTCTTCGTATCAGTACGGCTACCCCATGCCAGGTGGCGTCTTCAACGAGCGTAGCCAGACTCCCCAGGCCTGCGTGTGAGAAGCCGACCCCCATCTTACCTAAATTGCGGACGTGATTTTTTCTGCCTAACGAATCTCTTTGGACACGAAGTACGCTTACGACCTCACTGATTGGACGAGTGGAGCGGAAGTTCTTGTTACCCCCCCCCCCCCGAGCACGGAGCGCTCACGAGTCTTGTTCAGCACGGTACGAAACGTCGCTGTGGGCCAGCGATCGCCTTTCTCGCGTCGTCTTGCATGGCAGACGACGCCTTGTAGCATCATCTGGCCGGTTGTTTTTGCTGCATTTCCACGTTTGTCTTCCTGCATGTTTTTCTTTTCTTTTTTCTTTCTTCCTCTCTTCCTCTCCCACCGGCGCAAATTGGGTTCCATTACGGTGTTCATCGGACATGTTTATTCTTTGCTCATCGTTTTTCTCGACCATAGGCTGGCTACCATGCTCTAGGAGCAATCCCACTCTGGTTCTGGCGTTGTTGACGGTCGTTTCTGATCTGTGGATTCGTAAAAGCTTGGTTTGATTTGCATTTGAAGCGTTTTTTTTTCTTTCTCTTTCTTGTTATCACTAGGAGTTGATGATCCAGATCGTCCTCGTAAATAGGCATTAGGAAAGGCAGAATTCGACATGGTTGTAATCAGTCTCACATTGTGTTTTGGTGTGGTGTAGTGTGGTTTCGATTGCTTTGTTTTTACTGGCCTTGTCCCATGGTTGGTGGTGGCGGGTTGTCGCCTCTGGGCCGGGTAAGAGTTTGGAAGCGAGGGGGGGCGGAGGCCGTTGGAGAACACGGGACACTCGGGCCTATATAGCAGTCGGCAAGGGAACAGACATAGCATAAAAACCCTTGGCCAAAACTCACGATGCCCCCACTTGTGCGCATCCCGTGAGCAGTCGCTGGCGCCGAAGATGAGGCCGTGTGGGCTGGATCGTGGGTTCTGTGGCCATGTGACCACTCGCTAAGCCGCCTGCCTCGGCCGTAACGTCTGGCAAGTGCTGACCGCCTGCCGCTTTCTGACCTGCTAGTGCTCATATCCATCTCACAATTGGATACCGAGTCGTCCTTTTCAACTTCTCCCGGCTCCAAGCGCGCCCGCCTCGACAGCATAATTCGGCCTATTCCCGACCGAGCCACCATCGTGACCCTGCCTGGGCCGTATATGTGTCACCATGTCCTTCTTTGGGAGTAAGAAAGCGCCGCCTCCACCACCGCCGCCCCCGCCGGTGCCTCGCTCTGGCGCCCAAATCGACGCGACAACCGTCCTGTCGCTCCTGCTGTTCCTGGCTCTTATTGGCGGCGCATATGGAGCGTCTGTCAAAGCCTTGCCCAGGGCCGCGACCCGGAAGACGCGCATCCTCTTCGTCTGGCACGCCTTCGACGCCCTCATCCACTTTGTCTTTGAAGGATCCTTTCTCTGGAACTGCTTCTTTGTGTCGTATTCGCTGCCGACGTCTTTCTCGGCCGCAGCCCGCAACCACCCTCACATCACGCTCTTCACGCCTCCGGATGTGTACTGGCTGGGCCGACAGGATCTACTCTTCGGTGCAAACTATGGGACGGGTCCGTTGAGTCGATTGTGGCAAGAGTATGCAAAGGCGGACAAGCGATGGGGCGGGACGGATCTGACGGTCGTGACGCTGGAGCTTCTGACGGTGTTTGTGGCCGGCCCGTTGGCATGCTGGATATGCTATCTTCTCAGCAAAGACGAAAAAAAGGGCGTGCTGAAAAAGTACTTTTGGATGATAGTCCTGGCCACTGCCGAGATATATGGAGGTGAGTCACAACAAACATCTGCTTTGTTGCGGTGGACATACAGCATGTGAAACTCGAGGCCTGTTGTCATCGTTAGTGAGGCGTTATGTGGACCTGGTCCGAGCGATTGTTGAGAGCGGACGACACTGCGCTGTTGCGAGTATGAGGCTGACACGTGGTTCACCGCTCCACCCAGGCTGGATGACATTTGCTCCTGAATGGCTGACCGGAAGCCCTAATCTCGACACGAGCAACTGGATATATCTGTAAGTGGCCATTTTTGCTCCTTTTCCATGCCTTTTGCCATGCAATTCTATGGTTCGCATGGCTTTCCTGCATCGTGTTTGGTTTTCTTGGCCGGCACGCCTAAGTATGCCAGGTCCCGTTGAGGACCTGCCGCGTTCCCGAACCCACTCTGCATGCAACCCTGGCCTCAACACTGAACACAAAACACATGTTTTCCTTGCTCACAAATGCCTAACTCGGCAATGCAATGTGCTGGCGATGCATAATCGCGACATCGCCCGGCGTGGACCCACAGCTAATCTCCTCAACCATGATACACAATTCCACAAACAACGGGACACAACTGGACACAGCATGTGGCTCCTAAATCCTCACGCCTTGGCACGCACAATCACTCTGCGGATTCTAGACTGACAAGTGTCTAGCTGGCTCTACCTCACCACCTTCAACGGTCTCTGGGTCGTCGTTCCCCTCTGGATTCTCTACGAGGCCTACCAAGCCATGAGCTCTGCCATGTCGCAAGCCGAGATGGTGGATCTCGTAAACTATCTGAAAAAGGACGATTAAATGGCTCGTGCACGACCAGGCATAGCTGCACGATGAGATGTGCTCTGAGCCAATCCTTTGCTTGGAAGTGTATCCCTCTGAAAAAATCGAGTAATGTGAAAGCCACTACAACCTGGCGATTTTAAACACTTGGTAACGATATTTTTTTACGTGTTATGGGGGCAAAAGCTAGTATCTCAGTGGTGTGCACTTTTTCGTTGTCAGAAAGTAAGATGGTGATGCATATCAGATGCATGGATTCCTTCACCACCACCAGCATGAAGGAAATCTCGCTGAATTATCTTTACCCCCCACTCCGATATAACTCTCCACGAGCGAGAGGAAGAATAACAAAAGTGAATACGTAACATTTATTCCAGCTCCGTCGTTGATGCATCCGAGTTTTCGGGCCATTTAAGTCGGGGGGTTTTTTCTTCTTCTACTGCTATTTCCATTTCCATTTGCATATCCATGTCCACGTGCAAATCACCTGCGAACCCGCAGGCAAGGAGTAATACATAACATCATAAACCCTGTAGCGTCTGTAACACTAACACAACTGGCACATGCAGTACTGGACTGCGTACTTTCCCAAACGGCATACTGAAACACTAGATATGCAGGTTTGAGCTGTCCCGCTAGAACGGCATCGTACATGCTCACAATTCGCCGCGTGCAAAAAAATTAATAAGGAGAGAGAGATTAGCGTACGAAGGTGCCATGGTGGCATGTTTTTGGCGTGTTGAAGTGCTTCTTAGTAAACGCGTTGCTGGCAGCACTAAGTATGTAAGTTAAAATCTAAAGTTTATTTTTCCCACCGTAAAAGTCTGACTGCAGTGATTGTTCAATCAAAGCACTGCTATCCCATTTCACCAACTCACAGCACAACAAAGTCTTCACATACATACGTACGTACACACAACAAGCTTAGCTTATTTGGTAAAAAAAAAAGATTGGTTTCATGCCAGTGACACGTATATCGTGCAGGCGTATCGATTCAGTATCTGGATTCGAACAAGAAAGGTAGGTAGGTATATGAAGAAGAAGGTGAAGAAGAAGATATATATACGAAACAAAGATGCAAGCCACAGGCTCGACAGTAGTAGTAACAGCAGCAGCAGCAGTATCACACAGCCTTTGGCACTCTCTCAAGGTATCTAAGGCCCCTCGACAGTAATCGAAGCCTTACCCGAGCTCTGGTAGCCCTCGGTAGCCAGAATCATGTAGTTATGCGTGCCGAGTTTCTGGCCGTACTTGGCCCAAGCATCAAAGTGGTTCTAACACAATCCTCGTTAGTCACCCAGCACACACTGATACAGATACTCGAGCAGGAGACTCACCTTGACAGTAATGCTACCACCCACGCGCTTGTTCTTTCGCACGGACCAAAACTGCTGAAAGGTAGCCGTGCCATCGATGGACGGCTGGTTCGTCCGCGTCGTCTGCAGGATGTCGTAGGTGCTGCCGTCGGACTCGACCGAGCCCTTTTTCTGCGCCGCAGACGACGGGTCGTACGAGCCAAACGACTCGACAATGTAGTACTCGATCAGCGGGTTGCGCGTCCAGCCGTACAGCGAAATGTACGAGTTGACGCTTTGTCCGTTCCACGTGCCGCTGTACTTGACGATGCGCTCTGAGCCGGGGTTCCTGTGGGGAGGGGGGAAAGTGTTAGGTAAGTGGGAAACTGGAAAAGAGGTGGTGATAAGGAGGAGGAGGAGGAGGAGGAGAAAACACACCATCCCTTGCCGGCGACAAAGTTGTTCACATTGCTCCATTCCACGTCGTACTGGCCTCCAGGACCATTGTTGTACGTGACCTGGCCCTGGTTGTCGGTCCAGAAGGAGTAGAAGAAGCCGTTGTTGGTGCCCTGTCCCGCAGGCGTGGAGCGCGCAGTCAGGTTGGCCGGCTCGTCGCGAGGCTCAGCGTTGAGGATGAGGCTGAGAGGCGAGGCCAGTGCCGCAGAAGCGCTACCCAGAGCGAGGAGAAGAGAAGAAAAGGCAACCATTTTGCTTGAATCAAAGCCGTGTGTGAAATGCTGTGTGTGTGTGTGGACTTGTTCGCTCATGGACAGCATCATCTTTTATACATCGAGTAGGTCACCATTATATCCGGGTGATCATTACGTTTGTTACAGAAGAGTGGCGACGCGTGCATTCACCCAAGAAATTCCAGATTGGAGGACATGGACTTTGGAAGCTTGGCTGGTGCCACCGGATCTATCTATCCCTACAAGTGTGGATTGCATTGTGGATTGCCTGGCAAGTGGCGGCTGGCGACAAGCGGGAAGCTGTTATTTCGAATCACGAAGGGCCAATCGCCCGGGTATTCTGGGTCCCAGGAAAGGGGTGGTCAGATCCATCAGCTGGTCGTGCGGCAAGCCCAGAGTTTGGAGTGTTGAAACATGTCATTTACAGAATGGATACTACTGGTGTTTATCCCTCATGTTATAGGTTTGGCAGCATCGGGGTGATGCGACAATTGTGGAGCGCCAGAACACGGCGAGTGGACTAGAACACCACTGACCCGCAGCGTAGGGATGCTGCTTCCTGCTGTCGTACTAGAAACATGTTCGTCGTTGCAAGCCACTTCTACCACGCTGGTGTAGGTGTGTCGTGGTGTCGGTCAAGCTTTTGGTCACGGTCAAGCTCACCCAAGCGCTGCGCGGTCAAGTGCCGCGTGCTGTCAAGCCAATCTATTCGTATGTTAATAGCTTATGTCCCCAGATGAATTCCTCGGCATGCAGCACTATCGGATATCTGCACGCGACATGCGCGAAGAGGGGGCCGACAAAGGCATTCTCGTGCTCGTCCGGCAACCAAGCATTTACCCGGTCCTTAAGCCTTCGGACACTTCTTTAGTCGATATCGTCATGCTCTTGTGTCTGGCCCAGTGCTGTGGTTATAGATACATTGCGCCAAGGGCTTTGGAGGGCGGAGGCTGTGTGAAACGGGCGGCGAGTGACGAATTGCCAAGAGTCGGAGGCGTACAAACGAGTTCTCGTCTTGTGTCCCCACCCATCACTCACGTGTGTGGCTTCTCTTCACTATCCATCAGAACAACAAGATATCATGATTCAAGTTCATGCGCTAATGCATCTAGTTAATGAAAACAGGCTACGAGTTTTGGAACGTAAAATTGACCTTGATTGCTTTGGTATGTTGTTGTTCTGTTCAGCTGTGTGGCTGGATGGGGCACGTAAAATCATGCTCCATCATAATGTGGATCTAGCCATATTGCTCCTCCGCCAAGACGCAGGGCGGAAACATCGGGTATGGGTGCGTATAGCATAGATTGTATGCGGCCCAAACTCCGTCCGCGGAGGGCGTTTGACCGCATCAGCGTCGGTTGTTCCACAGCCGATCGATGACCTGAAAGACGGCCGTAACTAGCTTCATAGTGTCTGCATCAATGTGTTGCCCGAAACGCTGCTGCATCTTGTCAGGGTGCCAGCGCACTCGCTCGGCCTTGAGCAGTGCAATAGAGTCGTCTCGCCATGACTTTGAGCCCCGGAAGAAGCGCTCAATCTCTTCCTTGGACACGTGCTTTGCCTTTCCCGACACTACAGGCCATGGCATGAGGTCGTGTACCTTGGTGGCTGTTTCGTCGCCTAGATCTTGGGCTTTCTTCAGATTGTCCCATTTGGCCATGTAACTGTCCCAAGCGGCTTCTGCCTCTCTGGCTTTCTTTCGCTCTTCGCCCCGACGCAGGCTTTCTTCCATACGACGCCGTATGCTTTCTCTTTCTGCTTCTTCACGCTCGAACTCTTCGTCGAGCTGAGTCTGCTGAGCCTTTCGCTTCTGGCGCGCTCGCTCTTTCGCCTCACGTTCCTCGAGTATATGCTGGTGACTCTTTTCCCACATCTTGGTGCGTACATAGCCTGCATACTCTTCCTCGGTCATGCGTTCCAGCTTTCCGTCTGGGCCAGGTTTGACATCGGGATATATGTGCACAGGCTGGCCGTAGACGCCTTCCCAATACGCGGCACCCTCGTCATCAGCAAGTGCGTCGAACAGGGACTCGCGGAATGCATCGTCGGGTGCTGGTCCTGGAGAGCCGGCGCCTGATTCCTCCAAGTTGTCGAATAAAGATTCACGATGCCGGTAGTCAGGGTCATAGTATGTGCCATCGCGTGTCGAGGTGGGGTGACGGTCGTCGTGAGTGCGGTGCTTGTGCTTGTCTCTGCGCCTGGAGTCACGATGGCTTCGTCGCGCGTCCTTTTCTCTGTCTGTCCTGTGCCTCTTGCGGTGACCTTCGTCGGCATCTTCATCTTTGCTTTCGCTATCGTGGCGTCGGGAGCGGCGTTTGGAGCCAGACTTGAAGTGAAATGGTGATGCTTTGGCTTTGGCGTAGAGGCCTTCTTCGGTGGCACTACTAGCCTGGCCCTCCATGGTGAGGACTGTGATGCTTGAAGAGCCAGTCGTGCATGAGAGATGATGTGTTGAGGGCGATGGGCGCAAGCTGCCCACGAATGTTACGGGCGGAGAAAGTTGAATGCGGAGGAGGCGGAGGTGCTGATGATCTCACTGGTGCGCGGCAGTCTTGGCATGCACCATCCAAACTCGCGCTCGCGACTCGTTCTCCCATCCAGCAACAACACCCATCATGTCATTCAAATTCGGACTTAATGTCAAGAGCAAGGGCGCAAATCCCCTCGCGAAAGTCGGGACCAAGCCCGACCTCGGAAAAAAGAAGAAAAAGCCTCTATTTGACGACGACGAAGGGGAGGGCAAAGGCAAGGCAAAGGCAGCCGATGGCGTCGAGGAGATTGGCGAGTTCAACTTTGAAGACTCGCTTGCATCAGGCCCATCAGAACCGTCAAAGTCCGCCTCGGCGAAACAAAAGAAAGGCCAACCACCAGCTCCTCCGAGCAAGAAACCGAAGCCAAAAGAAGACGACCCTACCAATGTTGCCTACTCCGCCAGTGCTGCCGAAGCTGAAAAGCGCGCACAGGAAGCTTTGGAAACCGATGCTACCATTTACGACTATGATGCCGCATACGACGCCCTCCACGCCCAGCAAACTGCCAAAGCTGCCGCCGCCCGAGAAGACGCTGCCCAGCGGAAACCCAAGTACATGGACGCGCTCTTCGAGTCTGCAGAGCAGCGGAAAAAAGACCAGCTGCGTGCGCGCGACAAGCTCCTACAACGCGAACGAGAGGCCGAAGGCGATGAATTCGCCGACAAGGAGAAGTTTGTGACGGGAGCCTACAAAGCGCAGCAAGAAGAGACGCGCAAGGCCGAGGAGGAGGAGAAGAAACGGCAAGAGGCCGAAGAAGGCATGAAGAAGAAGTTTGGCATGCAAGGGTTCCACAAGCAGATGCTCGCCGAGCAGGAACGAAGACACCAAGAAGCCATGGAAGCAGCCGCACGCGCTCTCAAAGAAGGCATCAAGCCACCAGCCGAAGAGGCCGAAAAAGAAAAGACGGATGCCGAGCTCGCCGAAGAACTGCGCAAGCAGGGCAAAAACGTCATACTCGACGACGACGGTCAAGTCGCAGACCATCGCCAGCTGTTGTCCGCCGGTCTCAACGTCATCTCCAGGCCTAAACCCACGGCTACGGCGTCTTCGTCCGCGACCACTACCGCACCAAAGTACACGCCTCCATCGCATGTTAACAGCAGCAAGGGTGGGCGCAACGCACAGAGAGAGCGGCAAACGGCCATGGTAGTCGAGCAGATTGAAGCCGCGAACAAGAGAAAGGCCGAAGAGGAGGCCGAGGAGCAGGCCAAGTTGGAACGAGCGAGAAAGAGCCAGAAGACGGAGAAGGATATTAGTAGTGCAAAGGAGAGGTACCTGCAGAGAAAGAGAGAGGCAGCAGCAGCAAAGGAGGCCGCGGCGGCAGCTGGAAAATAAACATAGCGTAATGATACCCCTAATTTGATACGAGCGTGGAGCGACTTGCACGACAATTGCTTGATCGGTGTGTGTGGAGTTTTGAAAGTGGGTGATTCCTAAGTGATTTTTCCGCGAAGAAATTCGTGCTACCAGAGGCTCTGAGATGAAGATGACATGATAAAAGAGATAAATGCGGTCCATACCTGAGCCTGTATGGCATAACCGGAGGATAAAATTGTCTGATGATAAAACCGAGCCCCTAAAGCCCATACATGCAAGAACCTGGCAAATTCTTGGTTCACAGATATAAAAAAACGCCCGGCAATGCTCCTACCATCCGTATCGATTCCCTGCCTCTTTCTTGTTTCGGTGGCCAGCAGCAAAGTGGTCCTCGAGAGCCTCTTTTTGTGTGGTCGCGACATTGACCAGGCTTCGGAGACTGTTCTTGCCGGCAGCGTTGATGGACTTGAGGGGATTGTGGGATACTGCCTCGCCCTGCTGACGCAGCTTTTCGTTATGTGCATACTCCTCATCTGTGTTGAACTCGACGATTTTGGCGCCTGAAAAGTCTGGTCCGTTGCGCCCCTTCTTGCCAAATAGTTGGCGACGCTCGGCTTCTGAAAGATTCAGCTCAGAGGCAATGTTTGTGAGGCCATCGGGCGCGGAGGGGCCGGCAGATGAAGATGCATGTTGAGCGGTTTGATTTGGCCATTGTCCGTCAAAGGCTGCATCAGGGACTGGCGCTTCTTCGTCTTCTTCGGCGCCATAAAGTAGGGGCTGGTATTGTCCATCAGATTGTTCCTTCCTCACAGGCTCTGCCTCATTTGATACGCCGAAGAGAGAGACCTTGGGCTTTTGTGGTTTTGTTTCTACGGCAGGTGCTTGTGCAGCCGACACCTCTGTGCTTGCAGCACTGGCTGCCTGGGTCGGTGCAGCCGCTGGACGGGGAACGGCTGGTTTCTTCTTCTTCCCCTTGCCAACAGACATGGGCACAAAACGCGGCGCTGCAGGCTTGGGTGCTTGCTGGGGCTCCGGATCCTGCTGGGTGTCTTGCGCGGGCAAAACTGGTTTATTCTCGGTCTTCGCTTCTGACTTGGGTGGCGGCAGATTCAGCATAGCCCTAAAGTCGTCCTTGTTCATGGGCCCTTTTTTGATCGGGTTGCCAGTCTCATCGTACTCTTCCGTCTCTGCCCTTGGCTCCCGCTTGAAGGCAGGCTCAGCGCCAGTCTTTAGGTTGACTCCCGCCGCGAGCCCTTTGCCCAGTCCTCTGCTTCCAGTCTTTGCGCCCCCGGCTGCCGCCATGGCATTCACGTTGGGCTTCTTGGGCGCAGGCAGCATGGCATTGAAACCTGCAAACGACGAGCCTCCGCCGAGGCGCGGCTTCTTAGCAGGCGGCGCATCGGCCTGGCCATCGTCCTTGTCGGGGCGCGACTGCGATGCGCCCGGGAGGCTGACTTTAATTCGTCCTGTGTTGGATCGGTCGACGACTTTCTGGAAGGCGGGCTTCGGGGCAGACTTGGCGACGACTTGGGGCGCAGCGGGCGCGTCGGTGTCGGATTCAGAGTCGGAGTAGCCGGCGAGAAGATTCATCGTGTTCGGGGGGAGGCGTCTTGGCGCGGAGTGAAGAGGAAGTGGGAGCGGGTTGTTGGTGGGAAAGTCTCCAGTGCCAGTGCGATGAGATCACTCGGGCGCGTCGAGCCAGTGCCGCCAAGCCAGGGTCCAGGTACTGCACATGCACTTCCCCACACCCTCCACGCCCACGCCGTCACTCTACATGTCCTTTACGATACCCGTCAGCTGGCCTGAACGCACCCTTTTATTCTGAGACGATGATACCCTGAGCTTTCCACCATGTCCCTCCTTCAGAACGAAGAGTAAGCGCGCATGCCCTCGCCCTCGTCGCATCCCGCAGCCCACTGACGTGCGCAGTTTCGTGCTATACCAGCTTCGGACGGCCTACCTGGGCTCCATCAAGGACGGAGTCGGCGAACGACTGATCAGTGTCGACTCGAGTGTCCTGAACAACCCCGCCTACCGTGCTGCGGGCTGGGTGCCCAACGCCTCAGACATTAAGCGCACATACTCCCCGCCCATTCCTACCGCCATCACCTCCGAGTACTTCCAGGCTCCGCGGTCGGCTGGCCTGAAGCCGCCAGAGGGCTTCGGCGACGATGAAGAAGAGGGCGGCATGGTGACGGGCGGCGGAAGCAACGACACCGTGGGGCCTACCTTGAATGCGAAGCGCAGGCGGCGCAAGGAGCAGCTGGAAGAGGACGACAGCAGCGACCTCAGCGATGAAAGCGACGACGATGACGATGCGCAAAGGTAGGCAAACGTTGTGCGCTGCAGCTCCCAGACTGATCAAGTGCTAGACCGGCCAACCAAATCAAGTTCACTAAGATGCCTCTACGGACTCGTTCTGGCTCGTCGCCCGTGCCTGGATCAGCTCTGCGCAACGAGCTGGCAGAGGCCGGAGAAGGGCCTTCACTGCTGATTACATCGCCAACACGCCCGCCGGATGAACTGCCACGCAGGTCGTCACTGCCTACGGTTGAGACAAGCAAAGGAAGGCCGAGGAGAGACACCATCACGAGTAGCGAAATGTCATCGGAAAATGAATTCGACAACTCGTCCTTTAAAAAGAGGAGAGTCAATCCGCGAAAGTCTGCCAATGCGAGCCACGGGCTTTCCCAACGCATCGACGAGCACCAGGCAGAGGCTGGCGGGTCACGCGCACGTCTTGAGGCCCTCGACGAAGGTGATGAGTCGGACGACTCTTTGACGTCTGAATTCTCTGGTTCCGACGATAGTGCTTCGCTCATTGGCGCAGACGGCGACCCTCTGGATTCGTCTCCCGCCGGTGAACTTACCACTATGCCTGGCCTCACGCCTTTCCAAAACATGTCTCCCAAGAAAAAGAAGCCTGAGCCGGTCCAGCCAACACTCCAGGCTCTGCCTCCACCACGACCGATTAGTTTCGTGTTGCCCGTGAGTGCCTTGACTCAAGCGATTCGAGCCAAGGAGCAGAAGCCATCCGACCCGCTGCAGCGTTTTGCCGTGTGGAACGCTGCCAGTGAGGCTCAACAAAACCCCCTGTTTATTAAACTCTACTGCCCATTCTCCTCGAAACCATCCAAACCTATGGAGCTGCTGATTAGAAAGTTCAACGACAAAGGCGAGGGGCCTACCGTGGCTGAAGCTATAGGATACGCCCTGCACCGGTACCAGGAAGAGAAGATGGAGCCGCCTTTGACAGCCGAACAGAAGAATGTGAATCGCTGGGTCATGCGCATGTACGACGACGGCGAAGTCGACGACGAGTTTCCGCCATTGACAAGGAACAAGCCACTGAAAGACTTTGCGTCCAACAACGCCCGCGGTATGCGACCTCGTGCGCGAGACAAGCCTTGGGATGAATTTGCGCTTGTAGAAGCAACGCAGCGGGAGTTTGGTGAGAACGAGAAGCTCACGCCCATCTACAGTCAAGAGGCGGCGAGTGCTCTCGCATCACAGAGCGACGCCCAGGACGGCCCTGAAGAAAAGGAGGAGAAGAAGCCTGTCAAGCCTGTTCCCAGTCGCGCCAAGAGCTTCCGGAATCCCATTACAGGTCCTTCGTTTGCGCCAACAGCGACACGCAAAGACACAAGCAATCTTGCAGACGTGCCAAAGGTGCCGCAGTCGCATGCTGCAAGTCGCACTGGAGCCCCGAGGACCGTCAATATTCATTTCACAGACGAAAACTTCAACACGAAGCACTTTTCACTACCCTGTACAACCGACACCTATATTGCCGATCTATTCGACCAAGTATGTCATGATTTACAGCTCGAGAAGGCGTTATACATTCTCAAGGTAAGCGGAAGCACCACGGTAGCACCGCCAGATCGGACTGTAGAAGCGTTGGATACACGCATGGATCTCGATTTGGTGCGCCGGCGCTTTGTGGGCGATGGTGTGTTTGGACTGGCGGGATCACCAGGCTCTTCATCGCCCAACGCGCCACTCATCATCAGCACGGGTGGAGCGCCAAAGAAGACGAAGAAGGGAGACCGTACGCATGCAGCTGTGTCTGGCCAAGGTCTTCTCCACCCACTTGCACGAAATGCAGACTCTGGCGCCCTCGCCCTCACAACAACAAACTACTATCGTCGTTACGCCGTGCTCCGCAAACAGCCCATGTCGTTTGCCTCTTCGACATCTCGCATCCTTGCCCTCGACAACGAGTACATCCACATTATGCCTGGCGAGTCCAAGACCGGGGCACGCGGTGGCTTTGGCGTCGAGGGACAGGGCAAAACGACCACTGTGCATTTTAGCAGCGTAGTCGGGAGCAAGGTGTCGAAGAAGCATCCCAAGATGTTCCGCGTCATTGTGTTCAAGGAGCGCGAGACGAAGCGCTATGATTTCGAAGCGCAGAGCGTCGATGAGGCGGTGGAAATTGTCCGCGAGATTAAAAAGGGCGTCGAGAGGTTCCAGGAGGGCATTGTGTAGTTGGTGGTGATTGATATATCCTTGGATGTCTTTGTATAGGTCCAGCTTTGGCGTTGAGTTTTTTTTTGGTCTGATGAAAAACCAAATTTGGGTGGGGGGACACATTTCGAGATGACGATGGTGACAATATGAAATGTGCCATGTGCATTTTGATCCGGCGTTTGAAAAAAAAATTTGTATGCTCTTTGTTGTTGTTGTTGTTGTTCTCTTTTCTCGCGTCAGAAGCCTCCCCCTTTTTTTTGGCGTCTAAGTATACTTATGTACTTACTTGCAATCAATCAATCCGCCAAAACACACATTTTCCATACCAAACTCCCACCCGTAAATACAGAAAAGTAGGCTAGTTATTCCTCCTAAGAGCACCAATAAAACAAAAAAAGAAAAGGCAAAAAATAAATAAATAGAAAGTATACGTTACAACCATCTCTTAATAAAACCCATCACCATCATCATGATCATGATCATCATCATCATCATCACCTGTCGTGCACATGCTTTTCACTACATACTTGGCTTTCTCTCGTACATATGTGTAAGTTCCGAATCGGAATCTCCATGTATCACGCACGATGTTGTTGGATGCAGAATCAAGTACACGTGTATATTCGTAAGACGCCAACCCATTTTTTTTTCTTTGCCGGATTTCCCCAACTCAGCGTTGATGGATGGGTTGAATGTATTAAGAGGAGGAGGGGGGGGGGTTTTACAGAGAAATCAGGCATGTATGTATGTATGACACAGAATATAAGAGACATGGATGGTATGTACGTATATACAAGGACTAGTTGTGAAATGATATGTACATGGTACATGGTATACGGAGTGGTCATTTGATGTCATGTTCTCGGTGTTAAAGCTCATACTTGGCCCCCCCCATATTACTTACGCGCATTTGTATTTCTAATTTTTTTTTACTCTTTTAAAACCGCACATAGATTCACAACAACAACAACAACAAGTATAGATATGTACGGCAAAGCAACAAGTAATATTCATCAATGCATAAGTCTACAAGCGCCACCGCCAACTAAACAAACTGATTGGCACCACCTTTCCACTTTGCAAAGATGTCGACGGGAAACTTGGCGGCGAGATAGGCATAGCCCTCGGGGCCGGGATGCAGGTAATCGCCGCTGTTGAACTGAGGCGCAAGCTGCGACGGGATTTTGGGATCAGCAAGGAAAGCGTCAAAGTCGACGACGGCGTCAAAGATGGCGCTGGAGCGGATAAACGTGTTGACGCGCTGTCTTGTTTTCTCGCGCTCGGGATTCGAGTAGGGCTGCTGGGTGAAGTTTGCGGGGGCGCTGAAGGGCGTGATGGTGGCGCCGAAGACGGGGATGCCGTGCGAGTGCATCAGAGACACCATTTGCTTGTAGGCTTGCACGAGGCCTTGGTAGGTGCGGTCTTGGGCGTCCGGGGTCGGGGCCGCGGTGCCAATGTCGTTTACGCCTTCGAAAATCATGGCGTAGCGCACGCCTGGGTGGGCGAGGACGTCGCGGTCGACGCGGCCAAAGGCGTTGGGGCCGAGGCCATCGGCGAGAATGCGGTTTCCGCCTGCGGCGAGGTTGCCGATGGAGATTGACTTTGTCGAGGGGTTCTTTTGGAGGCGCGTGAGGAGCTGGTTGGGCCACCGGTTGTTCTTGTCGGTTGTAGAGCCACGGCCATCGGTGATGCTGTCGCCGATGATGAGGAGCGAGCCGACGCAGTTGGGTACCCAGGCCTCAATGGACGAGATAAAGTACCAGTGTGCTGCTGATTGCGTGGTTGCGTTGGAGATGCTGAGACTGGCCTCGCTGACGGCGTTGCCGAATTGCCACCAGCTGGTGGTGCGGGAGCCAGGGTGGCTGGTGATGCTGTTGGTCTTCTGGCCGCTAGCGAGGTACATGGTCACGGTGATGATCTGCTCTGCCTTGATTTCAAAGTTGATTGGGTCGGATACAGCCAGTGCGCCGTTGGGGACCGTGATGCCATCTTCACCGCCAAAGGTAATCTTTTGAAGCGTCTTGGGCTGGATCTGGGAGATGCCAGCAGTTTGGTTTGCGGGAAGGGCAACGGTAACGGCTGTAATGGGAAGGTCGGAGCCGCCAAAGACGTTGGAGAACTTGAGACGAATCTGGTGCGCGTCGGTGGTTACATAGAGCATCTGACGGAGGGTGCTGTTGACAAAGACGGCGCCAGTTTGGTTCTACGCAGAGATGGTCAGCTACCTTTTTTTTTCCAGGAGCCATGGGCAAGTCAACATACAAAGGGAGCTGGGGGCAGATTGGCCGGCTCCGTCAGTTGGGGCATTGTTGCAAAAGCATCAACCCAGTGGCCATCGGTAGGGTTGGGGCGGATGGCGTGGACGGATACGGCGGCGCTCACAAGGAGCCCTGCTAGTCTTGACAAGATCATCTTGAGTCAATCTCTCTGCAAGCAACGCTGGCAAAGGGCAGTTGTGTAACGTCGACGCCGTGGGAACAAGCATCTTTAATACTGGCATGGAAATTGCGGGCGGACGGGGTACAAGGGAAGCTAGCCAGGGACACGACTATGCATTCAGTATGGCGCAGGAACCAAAGCGTGACCGGGTCCAGAATAGGTATCTGGGGAGCCGTCACAATGTGGGGATCTGCGGAGGTGGACGGATAAATAGGGCTGCGTTTGGAAACGTGGTTGGTGGGCACCGTGTTGCGCGTGCAATGCCTGTTTATCCATCGGCTGCAGACCGCGTAAAGTGCATGTCTGCGTCGTGTATGCGTTCGGGCCGCGGGTGCAATTAATCCGTTAGCATCGACTTCGCACATGGAACGAGCGATTCAGGAGACCGTGTATGCGTATTCATTGGTATCGTATCAATCGAGGCAGAAATAAGAACAACAAAAACGCCGCCCATGCAATGCTATCAGAGAGCAGCTGTTCCCTCGACCCGCGAACACGTCGCCCAACGACATGGGTCCCTCGCCTTGCACGGAGGACGGACGTACGAGGACATTGGCTGACAACAGGCAGTTGAAATGCGACCTTGGCGTATCGCATGATGAAAGAGTCAAGAGGTGCCGCGTAGTGGAAATTGGAGGGGTTGCTACCGACTGGTGGGAGACGGCGTCCAATGTATCTGAGCCGTATGGTCAGGAGCCACATGCGCCAGGATCGAGGGCGTGGATAGCAGGCGGAGCGCAGACGGGAGGAAGCAGCAGGGTGCGGCAGAAGCGAATGCGCTCAAAGAGCATGCTGCGCCCGTGGGTGTGTTACCAGCAACGCTTGCAGCATGGCGTGGGACACGCGGCAAGGCGCAACGGCGGGCACACGTGACGCGGGCGGCGCGCAGCTACACAAGGGGAGGCTCCGTGTGAGCTTGCCGCAGCATGTCAAGCCTGGGCAGCCCGCGGGCGCGACGACGTCGTGGGCCGGGCGGGCTCAAAAGTCGTCGTCGCTGTCGGCCTTTTTCTTCTTCCGCGTCGACGTCTTCTTCTTCTTCTTGCCGTCGACGTCCATGCTGTCGGCGTCGCTCTTCTCCGGGGCGTCGGCGACCTTGGAGACAATCTCGTTGAGGAAGTCGAAGCGGTCCGTCTTGGTGATGGCCTGCTTGAGGTGGATGGAGCCGACGCGCTTCGAGTTGCGCGCCTTGGCCTCGGCGGCGGCCTTTGTGACGAGCGAGATCATGAAGAGCTCGAGGGCTTTGGCTGGGCGCGGCAGTCAGCAACGGGGGGCGCGGCAGTCAGCGCGGGCAGAGGGCTACGTACACACGACGACGGGGGTGACCTGGGCGACCTTTCCGACGTCATCGTCGGCCTGCATGATGCGCTTGATGCGCGCGACGGGAAAGTGGTTCTTGATGGTGATGTGCTGCGTCGCGGGCGTGTCTGCCCCGCCGAGCCCGTGGGCAGCGCCGGGAGCTGCTGTCAAGGCCAGCGACGCGTCGGGCACGTATTCTGCATCTTGCATGCTCTCGTGCTTGGCGGGCCCGCGAGGCATACAAGGCTGTGGCGCGGGCTGGCTGTGCAGCATGGGGCGGTGGTGGGGGGGCG